CAAATAACATCGGAAAATCCAACACATGGAGACTGTACGAAAGGCTTGAGAGCTGAAGAATAGCTGACGGCTGAACCTGGTTTATGGCACATTCCTTTGACAGTCGGATTGTGATCCATAATTATGTAATATATCCCTAAGTACTCGCCGTGTAGTTTCCAACTTCTGAGAAGAGTGCTTTTGCTTTTTCAAAGCATTTTTATACCCGATACTCAAAATGAGTATTGGGGTATATTAGATTTGTGGTAAAAGTGGATGTGTGTAACGTCCAGAAGGAATCGTTTCCGACCCCATAAAGTATATATATTCTTGATCAGCATCAATAGCCGAGTCGATTGAGCCATGTCTGTCTGTCCGTCTGTCCGTCTGTCCGTCTGTCCGTCCGTCCGTCTGTCCGTCTGTCCGTCTGTCCGTCTGTCCGTCCCCTTCAGCGCCTAATGCTCAAAGACTATAAGAGCTAGAGCAACGATGTTTTGGATTCAGACTTCTGTGATATGTCACTGCTCCAAAAATATTTCAAAACTTTGCCCCGCCCACTTCCGCCCCCACAAAGGGCGAAAATCTGTGGCATCCACAATTTTGACGATACGAGAAAACTAAAAACGCAGAATCGTAGAAGATGACTATATCTTCTAGAGTGCAAAATCTGAACCAGATCGTATAATTATTACAGCCAGAATCACGAAAACAATTTCACTCTTTCTCGCTCTGTCTCACTCTAACACACAGGTTTCATGGTCGGTTTTGCCAATTGCAAAATATGAGTTCAAGGATCTCAGAACCTATAAAAGCCAGAGCAACCAAATTTGGTATCCACACTCCTGTGATATCGGACCTTGACCGTTTCCTGTCCAAATTTCGCCACACCCCCTTCCGCCCCCGCAAAGGACGAAAATCTGAGGCAACCACAAATCTCAGAGACTATTAAGGCTAGAGTAACCAAATTTGGTACACACACTCCTTTAAGATGTCACTATAAAACGTATATCTCAGAATTTCGCCCCACCCCCATCCGCCCCCACAAAGGACGAAAATCTGTTGCATCCACAATATTGCAGATTTGAGAAAACTAAAAACGCAGAATCATAGATAATAACCATATCTATCAGGTTGCTGAATCTGGATCAGATCAGATCATTTTCATAGCCAAAAGGAGCAAATCAATTTGCACTGGCTACGCAGCGCCCGACGTCACGCTCAGACTGATTTTCTGTCTCTCTCGCACGCACTCTTTGTCGTGTCGTTAAATATTAGCGGCGTCTGCCGGAGGAGAGCCATACTGACTTAGTATCGGGTATAACCGTAGAGTTGCGGTGTCCGCAGCAACTCACAACGTTCCCCCTCGTTTCTCATGTTTGCATTAAAAAAAGCAAGGAACACCACTTTCCGTAGTCATAGCAACATCTTCCGGGTCCTGGCACTGTACGACCCTCATGTACGATAAGCTCTAGTGCCAGGTTCATTCCTTTTGCCCCTCGAGTGCCCCCCACTCATGTTTATATTCAATGATGAATACCACTGCCATGTTCGTATGTGCATTCAGCGGAATGAATGACAAAGGAAAGAGCGCACCAGATTTCCTTATTGGATTTTATGCACGGAGTGTGATTTTCTGTTTGCCAAACAAATCAGCGGAAGGACAAAAAAGGTTCTTAATTAAAGAGGAATTCGATGGGAACATATTGTTTTTATTTTATCAATATTTACGTTTTTTTCCGCATCATAATCGTATTCGTATCCACTCCATCCGCTCTATATAAATGTGCGTTTATACAGAAACTGAACTGAAAAAGCAATTGAGCTGGTTCTGCAGACAAATAATTTATTTATGCGCCTTCTGTGTCCTTTTTGACAGCAATTGATTTGCAATCATTCATCCAACTCCTCTCCCAAAGCTCTTCAATCATTTATATTGAAAAAAGCGCCCTCTTCGAGGCGGAATTTCTTTGTTAAATACTGGTAATACTCGCAACAACTGGCCAAATGAAGTGTCAATAATTATAAGAGCGCTCCAACGGCCAGCTCCAGCAGAGACAAGAATGCTCCATTGATCCATTTGAGTTTACAATGGTTAAATATTCATGGATTTCTGCGCCAATATTTACCCGATTAATATGCATACGTATTTTGCGGATGTGAATGGATAGATAGCCTGCTGCATATGGGACACCCCCATGAAATCATAAATCTTGTTTTAACAACTAATTACAATTCAAGGGGGGTTTTTGAAAAAATATATTCGTTATTGATGTGCTGGGAAAAAAATGATTATACATATATATTTTTTTTTTTTGTTGGTCAGCCATCAGTGACGGTGAGGGCCCATTAAACAGGGAAAGCCACAAGGCCAAAGGCCATAAAAAATCACAATATGCTGCTATTTTATTTGATTTACTTTTATTATTGCCATGCCACAGAGACAAGGGAGCCTCCTCAATCCCTCCTCAAGAATAATCATTTGGTGAGCAAATTTTAAGCATAAAACGAAAGGAAACGAAAATGGCTCTGCGTTGGACATTTATGTGCTAGATTTTATGGCAATTTTGTTTCGGCTAAAACAATGAGAGCAGCAAACCGTATAAATGTGTGTTCGCATGCATCTCGCTCGCATATATATTCAATCTCATAAAAGGACAAACTGAATCAGAGCTGGATCTGATGCCCATTGTATGCGATTTACATGGCCAGAAGTGAAAGAAGCGGTCGCATAATCTAATAATATTTTATGTGGAGAGCATAAAAATCACAGCACGCCACTTGAGAGTCCGTTGAACTTGCTCTCTGTCTGAACGACTCTCCTCGATTCTATCTAAGTAGCCAGCGATGGATGGATGAATGGATGGATGAAAAGAAAGAAAGAAAAAGGAAAGGACATATCCATTATTGACCAACAAAGACCGACAAAAAATCCATGGCAATTTATTGAAGTTCTCTTGTCGTTGTCCAAGGACCATTAAGAGCAGAAAGCGAACCACATCTGAGAAAGATTTTTATGATGATGACTTCAAAAAAGAAAACCCACACATCCATTGCCCAATGCTCCTCCATTAACAAGGAAATTAACATTCAGATTACGCATACGCCATGTGAGCTGTTGCCCACAGCTATGTATATTCGTGGCTGTGCGTACCCTATATACTTAATACAGTGTATTATGTCAATGGAAATTAATTATATTACACATAATAGCTGCATCTCGGGGACTTTCTTTCCTTTAAAGAGTATTGTTTCTATGTAACAGGTATCCCATGGTCGAAATAAATGCTCACTCATTATTTCATACGTATATCCATTGGTATTTTCATTTGTATTTTCATTTGCATTTTCATTAGTTTATTATCCAAGCACTGTAAAAACTTTTAGAGCGCTCCAGGCATAAATGCCAAATGAGCTGTGAATAATGGCATGGCATGGGGCGGGCGGACGGAATGCCACCGGGCGGGTGTTCGGGGGTCTGATGTTGTGTGTTCCTTCCCGCTTAAGTATCTGTTAACAGTTCTATTCGAAGACTCCAACTATTTCTGCAATGAGCGGTGAAATCGCTCGTGAATTATGAATTTTCTGGTGGCACTCACAGAAATTTTCAACAGGGCATGGCATGGACATGGCAGTGTGGAGCAGAGAGTGGATGAAATGATAAGCTAGTCCAATCAGTTGATTATAGCAATCTAAATATAACAGCAATAGCATCAGACAAAAGCTTTGCAAAAAGATTCCATGTGAAATGAATAAATAAAAACGTTAAATGGCAAGAGAGTAAAAATAAACGCTCCGCAAATTGGGAAGGCCAAAAAACAAAAGCAAAAGCCAACAAATATATGTACATATTGTACATCAGCATATATCAAATACGATTCCCGTCAGTTCCACCTCTGTTATTTCTGTCCATCACTCTGTTCTTCCATTCCTATTCCTGTACCATACCCATGCCCTATACCTACATATACCTCGTACCTATATTTATGTGCAGATCTTTACCTATGTTTTTATATCCCCAAGTGCTCAGGTGTGGGCGTTTGATTTTCCAACATGTGGACTTGCTATAGACTGCCTTGGACTGCCAAGGAATCCCATCAAATGGTGGACGACAAGCGACATACGCCAAATTGTGTGGCGTCACAATCATGACAGAGCTGGAGGATGGGTGCCACGGCAGATCAAGCCAAAACATGATAATTGCTATGCTAATCATGAGGAAACTCCCGCTCCCACGGATGATAATGATGATGATGGTGGAAATAATGACGTGTCATGTGTGGCAAATGACACACCCCCACATAGATAGAGGCAGATAGACAAACAGCTGGCAGAACTGGCAGAAAACTAAAATTGGCCAATTCTCGATGGCACAGTGGGCGAATGTTATCTCATTGGTGAAATGGTGAAAAGCTCTCAGCATACCTCTGGAAGCTCTCTCCTTGGTATTCCCGGCATCCCAGTCTGCATTTAATAGACTGGGAAGGGGCAAAATTCCTGTCACACTTTCGAAGATAATTCATCCAATAATTAGTATAAATATAGATTTATAGGTCGATCCAATGCAGTGTGCCATGCCATCAAATGGCACTCTCTGCCATGGCCAGTATATAGCAGTCGGTGGATGTTGCCAGGCCAAGTGAAAGTGTGGCAAGACCCACAGTGGGGTAGTGAATGGGGTGGCGGGGGGGCGGAAAGTTGTGGGAAAGATAACATTTTTCAGCAATTTAGTTTTCAACGCACACAGAACGTATTGATTCCACCCGATTCCCACAGGCACGTCCGCAGTCAGAACGAGCGACGTGACCACACACACACCCGCACACACCCACACACAACAGAGTAGCCGTGTGAGAGAGTATGCGTGTAGCCGTGTGCGTGTGAAAAGAATATATAGTTTTGAATGTAAATGCAAATGCGAAGTGCAAATGCAATAAATTATGCGTGCTCTGGCTGATTGCCGGGACATTTTATGATAGAAATTACAATTTGTCACCACTTGTTATTTATTCGCATACTTTCAGGCAACATGAATATTGGCGTGGCACCAACGAAATGGGATAAATTGTCGCCGCGCGAGTTCCTGCAGCTGCAGGAGTTGGCCTCATGTAAGTCCCGCAGCCAATCAATTGGCCATGTCACATTCATCATCATCCCACCATATGCCCGACCCCGACCCCCGCCCCCGACCCCGACTCCGACACAATACCAATTAAAATGCATTTCCTTCCGGCGAAACATCCGATGGCTTTGCCCCTTTGTAAATGGAAGCCATAACCGATCACATGCTCTCTCAATAACTTAATTTATTTCGCCGCTGCCAATCAGCAGATACCAATTCTTGTAATTGCCTTGATTGCATGTCAATTTCAGCTGAATGACCTCTCGATTCATAGGCGCAACAACGGTTTGCCTCCTTATTTTTGCATAATGCATGGCCTAGACAGAGGGAAATTGTAATTACATGTCAAGAAAAAATGCTCGCCTGCATGGTATTGACAGCAATACGTTCTCTGTTCCACTTAAAGCCAAATTTCTTACCCTTAAACTGTAGCAGGGCTGGTCCTTGAGCAGCGGTTCGAGAAGAAGGCGATGCAACCTTTTAAAAATCGATACCCATTAATCAAGGAGATCAAGGGTACACAGTACATGTTTAACAGAAAAGAAGGAAGCGTTTCCGACGTCAGGGACTTACAGTGTACTTATGCTGGTGTGCTTATGCGTTCTTACACGCATTCTGTATTTTTCCGGTTGCACACACCTCCCCCCTCCGATGTACATGCCTCTCTCAGTTCACTGAGTTATGGCTGTCACTGTTTGATGCCCGTCCGAAAGGACTGCATCAGAGCTGTTTGACATGGCAAAGTAGTCTACCTTGGGGGGATGCGCTGTCCCTGCGCTGTCCGTCTGGGGGAATTAAACGAAATGGCAAATGGGAGCGTTGAGCTTATAGATTATAGAATATTGCAGAAGGAGCACAGACAGGGTGGGGTTCTGGGAAGGGCAATGTTGGTTCATGTGCTGTTTGCTTTCGTTCTTGGAACTGCAATCTCTTAGAAGTAGTCCTGCCGCGCAGTAATCCCTGCCAGCTGGAAGCAGCACTGTCAGACCACTGACGTTAATAAGAATCTTTGAAAACACACATTTCGAGGAAAAACCGAAGGGAACGCCACGTGCCAGGTGCGAGTGGGTGTAGCCCCCGTGTACACATAGACGGCTGGCTAGAGCTGCAGGTGCACATTGGTGTGCCGTTCAAGGAATGAGGTGGAGGCAGGTGGCGGCAGGTGGAGTCCATCAAAACTGTCAGCAGCAGCTGGTCTGGCTGGGAAGCAGGGATCACGCAGCTGGGAGCCCGGTGAGTGGAGTCCTCCGGCGCAGACACTCTTGCGGCTGCCCGCACCACAACTCTCTCCCTCTCATTAAGTTAATAAAACCCTGAGTGCAACATTTAGGCCACCCCGTGGTGTGGACTCCAAGGAGAGGCTGCTTGGCTGCGGCTTCTCAGGCAACTCAAACGCACACAACCACGCAACCACAAGTACACCCACTCCTACATTCCTACCCACCTGCATTCCTCCTACACGCACCTTGTTTTCCATTAGTTAATTGTCCTTGCCACGCGCTGCCTTTCTACGTGTATCCTCTGTCCCGCCTTTGGAAACCAACCGGACCCACTTAAGTCGTCGATTCCACTGGCGCCAGTTGACCAATTGACGTGAGTCCATGTGCCCATGGAGCATGTTTCGTGCCACTCGTCCAGTTGCAGTTACACTTGAGTGGGGACTGAGACTGAGACTGGAACTGGAACTGTAACTTTGCATAATCCTTGTCTTACGCTTTGCACAATTTTCTCTTGTTTGTTTCTCTTGCAGATTCCACACGCAAGCTGCAGGATGTGCTCCGGGAGTTTTGCTCGCCCAGTGCCCCCTCGGCCACGCCCAAGTGCATACCTGATGGGGTAAGTGGCATACCCCGAAACTGAAATTAATTCAACACCGATGAGGTGCGCATACCCTTCTCAAGGCAACACAAGTCAGGGATTTAGCTCGGGTTACATTATAATCCCCAATCTGAGTAGTAACTCGAATGGCCCACAGTTGGGGATGGGAGACGGAGACGCACGCACGGACTGACAGCAAGACAGACAGACTGACGTGGAGCATATACAATTGAATGTCGGATTTGGAGAGGATTTGGGCCTGGGGATGGTTCGCCAGGGACACGGGACACGGGACACGGGCCAAGGTAGGGACAGGCAGAGTGAAAGATTGAAAGTAAACCTCCTTCTACGTACAATAAATCACAGACTTTTCAAGTTTACGGCTGAATGCCGGCTTGAAATTGAATCCCATTGAGCCGGACTCCAGCTCGTCCCTGTACCAGGACCACCTCTCACTGAATACTCTGGAGGGCTTGTACATAGTAAATTAATTTCAAAATGCATGCACTTCCATCAATTTGCAGAGGGTTTCCAGGAAGAGCAGTGGTCTGTGGAGGAGGAGACGTAAGGACACACATCTTGATTTCTATTGTAGTTTTTGTGGGAACGAGAATGGTTAGATATACTTGATACCCCTTTGATTCCCACAACCATAAAGAGCTGCAGCTTCATATGGTTCCTGGAACACTTTTGAAATAAAATATTTAGTGTTCCGAAAGGACCTTTTTGTAGTCGCATTCATTGAAGGGACTCTCATTTTTCATTGCAGTACTATTTATTCAAAGAGCCTTTTTAGCTACACACAATTTCAATGGCATTGAATAGCCCGCAGAATCCGATCCGTTCAATGTGAAAAAAATGTGCAAGCTAGAACCGCAATTGAAATTCCAAATTCCCGATATTCTAGCTACGCTATCTGTTCTGGTATATCATCGTTTTTTCTCTTTTCGAAGCGTAACGAATTGGAAAAAGTATAATTAAGTTTTCATCTCCCCAAAGCCCCACCCGATCCGCCCCGAATGCTGCTATTGAAGCGGAAGGAATATTTTTGCTCTGCAACACATGGAATTCGCTTCACAACGCGGTTGCCACTGCAGCTGTACATGTACTTTCATCGCTCCCTGTTTGTTGTTCCGCCGTCCTCTTCTGTTGCTAGGAATTTTCCTGAGCGAATGTAATTCCTGTAAATATTTCAACGACTGAAATGAATTGAGCTGTCAGTACGGGACGGGAAAAGCAGCTTACGAGTGTGTGTACCAGGTTTTTTTCGCCCTCAACTTTGGACTTAGGTCGATGTCGATGTCGAAGTCGGTGTCGGGTTTTTAGGTATCGATGTGGGTGGGTTCCAATTAAGTTAATTAAGAGTCCTTTCCCAGGTTGGAGCGATTGCCATTGCAGTCTGTCATTAGATGTTCTGCCAAAAGAATGCTTTCTATAAAAATGTAACATGATAGCATGGGGGAACTTCTTTCCTTCGCTCGTCCTGAGGGGCGTATACATCATTTATGCTCGAAAGTGTGCAATGCATAATGAATGCAGAGCACAGATTAGATTCCCACTCCAACCCCCCATTCTCCAGTCCTCAGTCCCCATTCCCCATTCGCTGGAGTTGAGTGCCAAATGGCCTGAACCGAACATCTCTCATGTAGCACATGTGCTCATGTGTGCGTATGTGTGATTAGGGAATGTAATGAATATCACGCATACGCACCGCACCGAACCGCACCGCACCGAACGCCCAAAATGGTCTTGAATATTTATTCATTAGGCCACGCGCTCACGCATAGCAACGCACTGTCACATGTATGGAGATAGCAGCGAAGGGAATAAACAGAGTGGGGGAGCGAGAGAGAAAGACAGAGAGAGTGAGAGGGCTCCCCTGTTCGCTGCTTAAATAAATTTTGCTAACGCAATTCGCGCCATTATTATAGTGCTTGTATGCGAGAGTGTTGTAATTTATGTGTATCTGTGTGTGTGTGTGTGTGTGTGTGTGTGTGCTTTTGTTTAGGATCGTATGTGACCATGTATGTAGCTCCACTTGGGTATGACGTTGCCATTTGCGCTCGACTGCCTCAACCAGTTTGCTTTCGGACCAATTGTTGCTATTACCAGCAGCTAGTGCTCGTGCTGCTCCGCCTGGTTGCTGGATGCTGGCTGCTGGCTGCTGTTGCCGCCACCAACATGAGTATAAATTTCCATTTTCTTGTATTTGGCCTCATAATAGCTACGCTCAGAAGCAGCAGCAGTAGCTGGGCAGCAGGACAGTGCCTGTGTAAAACAAAACCTCGACTCAGTTTGGCGCTCAGTTTCGACCACAGCCATCATTGAAGTTGCTTCGAAATTTAAAACGATGAAAAGTGAAAGCCGGAGCTGGATAGAAGCATGAGATGGGTCTGATAATGAGGGAAGATATTTCAGTGGATAGCCGCTACTATTTCAACTGCTGGTGGTATCTCCTAACCCGATTATCTTGTTACGCATTTAATACCCCTGTCTGTGGGTCTTGATTAGCAGTTATCCCCGGAACAGACTGTAGACTGTAAAATCCAGAGAGCGACTTTGTGCGTGTGCAACCTGCTAATGAAACGTCTATCAATGTCAGTGCCAGTCGGCGTCTATCAATGTCATCCCCATATCCAGGCCCCATTGGCACTCTTAAAACCCCCCGCCCATTCCCAGGGCGTTGCTGATTCCAGCATCGCGACGAAGCTGTCAGTGTATTGACATTACACGTGGTGTTGACACGTAATTTGCCCCGATCCCCATATTTGTCCAGGTTCTGTTCTGCATTCATAACAACTGGCCCAATGCCCAGAGTCTGGCACACCTTGCCTCGGATGGCAAATAAAGAAGAGGCGGCAGATCCTTCGGGGACATTCTTCGGCACGTACGGCAGAAGCGGACAGACAGGGCTCCTATTTATGGGAACTTATGTTTTTCAGCGTGTAAAAGTGCGTGCCGGACAAATGTAAATAAAATGGTTTCCAAGGAATTATGAATTCAATGAGCACACGAGTAGATTGGGAATTATTTGTCCACGTTGTAGGGGAAAATTACCGCTCAAATTAGGCATTATTATGGACATCAAAGGCGGGATAATAAAGTGGTAACTTTCATCAAATTTCAATCTGAGAGCAGAAGAGAAAATAATACTTTGCTGCAGAAAATTTCGCTAAATGGCAGAGAAGATCCGCCAGTGAATCTGTCAAGAAGGGAATATTAATCATACGCTCCGTTACCAGCAATAGCCCGGGCTCCTTCTCCTCTTGACAATAAAACAGGATGAGATATGGGAGCCTTTTATTGGAGCCAACTGCAAAGTGTTCCTCGCCTTAACAACGTCAACATATTATGTTGCATAAGCAGCCGCTCTGCCACTCCCACCACCAGTCACTCCACTACATTTTCAACCCGATACCGCTCGTAAAAGTTGGCTAAACGAAGATGCTGGCAAACATTTGCCAGGGAGCGAGGAAGAACTGACTATCCCTGACTGGAGGGTTTTGCACACACTTGAGCTTGTCACTTGTGAATGGCTTGGCGAAAATACATACACATATATGAGTCTAGCGTTGGTGTTGTTGGGGAAGGGGTGTGTGGGGTGTGTGGGGTGTGGGGAAAACGGGTGGAAAAACTCCCACCGAAAATCGAAAAATCGTGTACTATAATGGCTTATTAAAGCGGGCAAAACGAAGCAGAGACGAACGTTGCAGGAACCGCCATAAATCAGTGGATGAGCCAAACTTATTTTTCAACTCTTTCGCAGGACATCGATTTCGATGGGTTCAAGCGCTTCCTGGACGCATTCCTCGACTGCGAGGCGCCGCTGGACCTGGCCAAGCATTTGTTTGTTTCCTTCCTCAAGCCGACTGTCACCCAGGCCCAGCTGCACGGGAAGGCCCTCAATCAAATGGCCGCCATCAGCAGTACGGCTGCCTGTGCACCCGTCACGTCCCATACGAAGGGTAAGAGCTTCTTCCCACATCCATTCCCATTCCATCCCATTCCATCCCATCCCATCTGCAGTCTCATGTGTGTCTGTGAATAATTGCGCAACATTTCTCTCGGCTTCCCATCTTTCCGTCTCTCGCATATCCTGGTCGTAATTAGGCTCCATTCCGAACATCAATAGCATTGCGGATCTGATGCCGCAGTGCAGTGCAGGCGGGAGTGGAGGCGGGGGCGGAGGTGAGGTCCAGACCCAGGCACGCATCAGCTTCGTGGATAAAATCCATGGCATCACCGACAAACTACAGCACTCGCTGGGCGGACATCTCTCGCACGATCCCAGCAAGACGGGTGAGTAGGTCCCAGAGCGGGGGCGACATCCATATGACTCCGTTGTCGTGACTTTCCCAACAGGCAGCGTTCATCCGATTCTGACGGTGACGCCCAGTCCTCTGGCCAGCGGTCCCAGCATGTTCCAGGCGAGCAATCCGTCCCGCCGCTCCGTGGACTCGAGCCCCTCGCACTCCCAGACGAACCACTCGCAAATGTCGCGCAATTCCTCGAAGAAGAGCAGCAATTCCGTTAATTGCAAAATTGATAGTGAGTATTAATTAGCTTTTGCCCCCTCCCGAACGCCGCTTCTTTTGTCCTTTGTCCTGCGAAATTTTGATTAACATGTGCAACCGGACGATGAGAGCCGCTTTCCAATTAAGGCGCCCATTGTGCAATCAGCGTGGGATGTGTGGATGCAGTGGCAGCTACCCAATGCCTCACGATTGCCCGAATTAAAGTGCACAAACATTGGCCGGCCAGGGACTGCAGTCACGTCGCTGTACATTTATTTGCTTAGTTAAGTTTTTCGTGAACTTGCTAATTAGGGGACCGCGGGACCCTTAGAGCAGACAGCAGCGCGGAAGGAAGCCAGCGCGGACTTTTTCGCTAATTCAGGAGTTCATAAATTATGGAGCAAGGAGCAGCGAGCAGTGAGCACGGGACCAGGAAGCACGGGACCGAACAGGGCGCAGAACTTGGCGGAAGGCAGACCCTCATCCGGACTCAGCTCCCCCCCAATACAATGGAGCCAAGGAACTTCTCTTGTCTCAGGGATCGTGTCGTAAATCAACGCCCAATTAGAAACATTTTTGCATTTCACGAACTGGCGCTGGCGCTACTCGTAAAATGGGAGGCTCGGGCCTGCGTTAAATTAACATTTATTGCGAGACACCCGCACCCACACTACCTCGCCAACACACACTCAAACAACAGACACACATACATACAAAGACAAAGCGCGGGCTCTGGGCGCAATTGCGGCCTGAAAGTATGCAGCGTAATTTTTCGTTGTTCTCTGGCATTTCATATCCTTGCAGCAGAGGGGTACCATGGTTTTTACCAGGTGTCTGCCACGCGGTGAAGAAAGAATATCCAATGCCAATGCATGAGTGTTAACCAAGTGCACCCATAAATATAGGTACTATGGATCGGTATTTCCACGGGTCTAAATTCCAGCAAAGTACCTCCTCAGTGCTCCTCAGTATCTTTCTTGCTGAACTTTGCTATATGCAATGCTATATGTAACACACCTACATATACGAGAATTTTGGTCACACAAGCCGTAGAAAAAGTGAATGCCATAGAAACAGTAGATCTTTGAGGGTATCTGAGGCTTCGGTATTGAAAATGGGGCTCCCCCCTGGTTCCGTTCAGTGTCTGGCCTCGTTTTGTTTCCCTTTTTGCTTTCATTCATTTCGGTTCGTTTGAAATGTGTACAAGAATGATTAATGAACGTAAATTTTATTTTTTTTGCCTCTCTTTTTTTTGCGTCTTGTCCTTTTGTCGCTGTTGGCCAACAGTTTCACGCATTTTTCCCGGCATTTCGGCTGGCATTGTCCGGGCCGAATATTAGGTTCGGGGCAGAAGGCAAAAGGCAAAACGCCAGGCCGAATAAGTGGAGCAGCGGCACGAATTTCCTATTAGCATTATATATTAAGTACAACATGGGCTTCACTTTGCCGCTTTCTGTGTGTGTGTGTGTGTGTGTGTGTGTGTGTGTGTTGGCCTAAAGCGCTAATTGGATTAGTTTTGCTTTGCTTTTGCTCGTATCTGTGTGCGAAGGAATTAAATTTATTAGTTCGAACGTTTCCCAGCAAATACGTTGACATTGATCCTGCCACTCGTTTGCACAGCCCTCGCTCGGGCCAAGACAAATTTCGGGTCTCATTTAGTTATTAATATCAAAGGCAAATATTAACTTTGTTGCTGTATATGTATGTATGTGGATGCAAATATTTTAATTTATTGCCAACAAACGTTTCGCCATTAAGCAAACATAATTAGCCAAAGATACTCGTATTCCCTTATTCCCTTATTCCCACCCGGATATGCTTGGGTGTTTGTCTAGCTTATGAGGAATTATGGCGCATTTCTGCGTCTTTCCGCCTTCCTGCATTAGTATTATCACATATATTACAACATCAACAGCAGCAGCACGCACACACACTCTCACAAATGGCCTGTCAAATTTATAAAAGATGGAAGCCATTCATTTACACACTCACACAAAGACGGAAGGCGGGACCTTCCTTTCAGATTTTCCGAGTAATTCCCTTCGATTTCCATAAGTTTTGAAATTAAAAAGTCTTTAACTTTGCCGTATGCTCGCTACACAAAATCAATACCGAAATTTGATTAGAAAAAGAGTAAATTCGCAATAATGATGATTCGAGAAGCAAAGTTGAGTGCCTCGAAATTGGAGCATTTGGAGCATGAGATGGGAAAAGTTTTTGCTATCCCAGGCTCAAAATATTAGCGAGAAACTTTCCACATTAAATTGCTAAGCAAATTAAACTTGGAATCTGGTCGTAGATTTCATTAAGAGCTGGCCGCCAACCCATAACCATGGCCATTGTCATTCCCATTATTGTTATCCCTCTGGTCAAGTGACGGCAATTAACATTTAGCATAATGAGGTCCGGCATCAGCTTACTGTCAGCTGTCGATTGCACGAGGGGCGGAACTGGACTGGACAGGACAGGCACTTTATCACTCAGTGTTTAATGAATGCACTTTGCACACACTTTCGCCGCACACTGTATCACTCACTCGATGCTCCCCTTCTTTTGCAGCGGACATAAAGCTCTTGGCGCGGAAACTTTCCCATTTTGATCCACTGACACTTAAGGTTGCGCTCAAGGATGTCGTCTGCTATTTATCACTGCTCGAAGCTGGGCGGCCGGAGGACAAGCTGGAATGTGAGTGAGACCTTGGTCCCTGCTCTTTCGCCCCGATACTCATTTATTCACTGCGTTGCACTGCATTTCATTTCATTTCATTTCAGTCATGTTCCGGCTGTACGATACGGACAGCAATGGAGTCCTGGACACCGCCGAAATGGACGCCATTGTCAATCAGATGATGGCCGTGGCCGAATACCTCGGCTGGGATGTCAGCGAGCTGCGGCCGGTAAGTTGGCTCTCATTTCCCAGACGTATTGCGACTCTGATTCCGATTCCGACTACGATTACGATTCCGATTACGATTCCGTGTCATCCGTTTCCTCCATTCCATTACGATTCGGTTTCCCTGAAGAACCTGAACCGTTTAAATCCGCTTTACATTAAAAATGCATTACCTTAACTGCTGCTGCAATCAATGCACTGGCAATCAACTTACCCGAACATCACCCGCCCCGCTCCTTGTCCATCAACCAGTGCGATAAGCTCTTTTGTGGTCACGATTTACAAAACCCGCTCCTCAATGGCCCAATCCACTCGATAAAACTTTTTCAATTACTTACCAACATTTTCAGCTGCAACAGCACCGAAACAAAAGCAACAAACCCCTTGAAATTAATTTTCCTTTTATTGTTGGACATTCAACTTTGTGTTGCCCCCGACTCGGTTTCCATTTCAACCGCAAATTTGTGGAGCTGCCACAACTGACAGCACATAGGCGACTTAATAGTTTTGCCCCCGACATCAGCAACAGCAACAGCCACAACAACAGCAACAGCAACAGCAACAGTAAAGGGAACACGCTCTAAGCCGCGAAAGCCAGGAAAAACAGCAAGAATATGCGAAGAAAAAAGCTGAGGGAGAATTGCGACCGCAAATAAAGTCAAAGCGCCACAAAACTCAATTAACAAACTACCCCTGGCTATGGCCGAATGAATCCAGCACAATTCCCCATTCCCCACCCTTTATCCAGTGGCTGTTGCCCGGTTTTTGCTGCCGTTCCTTTGGGTACGGTACTCGTCCTCGTTCTCGCAGTCCCAGACTAGGGCGAACCGTTGAAGTTCCAGTCTCGTTTCCATCATGACTTCCCGACTGGGCTGCCGAAACATACTTTAAATTCTAAGCAGACACAGAAAATATTTTAATCAAAATATTTTTGCTTGCTTCAGCCGGGCTAAGGGCGAAAGGCGTAGGGCGTAGGGAAAGTTGGGATCAGCCCTTTCCCCATACTATCGGGGCTATTTCCCGTCGGGGCCACAAAATAATCAAAGCACTTAATGAGTTGCATAATTCTGAAATTCATTTCCGGGCTGAATATGAAATTCCCCAAGAAACAGCAAATGGACTCGGAGGTGGAATACATTTCTGTATAAGAGTCAGCCAACCTCCACAGAATATTTAATGGTACAAGGCTACGAAATCGATCCGACAAGGCTCCTCTGTTTAGCGAATCTATTTTCCGGAGTTTCCTTTGCTTTTGCTTTGGAGAAGCACACTTTTATTTCATCTCCCGCTTGGGATCTTTTATATTTCATTTGAAAATTAGCTTCTCCAGCTTCCACTTTAAGAGTCACTGCAATCCGGAACATCCTCTCTTCTCTACTTACAGATACTGCAAGATATGATGGTTGAAATTGACTACGACGCCGATGGCACCGTTTCCCTGGATGAGTGGCAGCGCGGTGGCATGACGACCATTCCACTCCTCGTGCTCTTAGGTGGGTAATCTGCCAGCTGCTACACCCAAGTGTTCTGCTCCCTCACCACCTTCTCCCCCTCCTCCGGCGAAGGGCCGTCTGCCCTGATCTGTGACTGGTTGGCTGCTGCCGTAATAATCAAGTCATTTGCAGAGCTGCCAGCGTTCACAAAAAATAAGAGAAGATAAAAACATCCTCCGTCACTCGAGCCTCGTACTCCGTTGCACGCTCATGCAAAGTGACAACTTTTCAACCTCTCTTTCTATGTGTCTCCGTCTCCATTCCGATGCAGGTGTCGACAGCACCACACTCAAGGAGGACGGCATTCACGTGTGGCGCTTGAAGCACTTCAGCAAGCCGGCATACTGCAACCTGTGCCTCAACATGCTGGTGGGCCTGGGGAAGAAGGGTCTCTGCTGTGTGTGTAAGTATCCCTCCCTCCGTCACTGTTTTGAATCTGCCATGAGGAAATTGTCTGCTCCAGTGCAGAATGTCTATCGACAACATACCGGGGCCCCATCTGATAGCTTGTGCGTTTCACATGGCACTCAACCATTTCAAGATTAGAGACCGTTTTGCATAAATTTGATTCATAATGGTCCGACTGACCCTGACAGTCCGCGACTGTCCATTGGTCTCAGAGCAGCCGCAAGCCGTCTTTTGGGGATAAAGTTTTGAATTCCTACAGATAAACAGATGAAACTTTACAGCTTTAACATTGCACTCGTTCGCGGGAACTTTGAACAAAGGGCCAGTATAAGTAGAAGAACAAAAACTTTATTCAAAATATTCCCAAACAAACCTGCAACATCAGAGCCACATATCGACCTGCTTTGACTGGTGCTGGTGGCACTCTCCAGTTGACCAACAGAAATTGTGCTTTTAGCTATTCCGTTGATGGAATTTACACTCTCTCCCCACAGTGTGCAAATACACGGTCCACGAGCGATGCGTGCAGCATGCCCCAGCTTCCTGCATCAACACATACGTGAAGTCGAAAAAGCCTAAGTGCGGCGGGGACCTGCTGCACCACTGGGTGGAGGGAAACTGCTACGGACGCTGCTCGAAGTGCCGCAAGCGCATTAAGGCCTACCACGGGATCACAGGCCTCACCTGCCGCTGGTGCCACATGATGGTGAGTACGGACCCACGTAGATTGAGTTTGCTTTCGAGTGCCCTTTGACTTTGGTGCTCCTACCGCCTAGGATAGCGATATTGCATTTAGAGTGCGTGCCAAATGAAAACTAATCGGATTTGTGTGGGGCGGAACAGGAGTAAATCAGGGCTAAACGAGTTACCGTGGCCCTAACACGAGAGTGCCTGCATTGTTCTGGGATTCCGGGATAGAAAAAACTAAAAATTCAAATTATTTTGATCAACAAGGCAGCCTTTGCCACAGCACTCTGTCTTTCTTTATGAAAGCTGTGATTCCAGCTTCGAAAAGGACCCATACACAGACCCGTACGCCACAATACGCCGTATACGCCAGCGACGGAACCACATCCAGCAGCCACACACATGAGCTGGCAGCTTCGTTATGGCTGGCAAATTGTCACGTCTCGAGCAAATTGTTCTGCTGCCTCTGCTGCATGCCACACTCTTGCCACACGCTCTATGGGAGCAGTGTACTACCAACAATGTTCTGTGTCTTTGACATGTACAGCGGAGAAAATGCAGAATTTGTTAGTTCCACAGCGACGGAAACAGGAACAAGACCGGCAAGAACAGCAGGAACAGCAGGAAAAGCAGCCCAAACGAATGCCAGGAAACTTCCTCCTCAGATGCTGCTGCATCTGCAAATTCTTCGTAAGCCAAACAGTTGCCAAACATTTTGACAGCCAATATCTAAGAATGTTATAGGGATTCATGGGTAGAGATACGTGTGATGTGCTTAAAGTCATCTCGTGCTAAGAAGTTTGTCTACAATTTAGTGAAATCGGTTGAGCTGAGTCAAAGAAGTGATAACCTTTTGAGCTATTTTGTGGATACAATTGCGTTGAGTGCTTAAGGATTAAAAGTTTCAATAGAAACTCCAAATCAGTCTTCTGTACGGATGATTTGATTCTCGAATGCAATCATTTGTATAGGTTCCTAAGCGCAGAAAGGCAGCCAAAATTCCAGTAAGTCCAGTAAAAAGGCAACTCCCAAATTGCTGCCTGAAAATTGGCATTTAAATGGAAATCCGGGCTAAATCTCATTCGGGCCGAAATTAACCATTTTTTCGTTGGTTCGCGCTAACAAACTTTTAATCGGATTCATTAGGGAAAAAATGAACACTTAAGAGCAGCCACACTCGCCCACTAGCCCACGCCCCACTCCATTCCACTTGGCCAGCAATGAAGTGTAAATTGAATTTCAGAGCTTACCATTTCCGTCCGCGACACTCTTCGCTCCTAGGCTCTGGATTTTTTCGCCATTTTAAGGCCATTTTGCACTTTGGCTAATTTGATTTTTGTCCATCCACTTTTTCATTCGCTCTCCGGCAGCTCCACAACCGCTGCGCCTCGTCGGTGAAGAAGGAATGCACACTGGGGGAGAACGCGGAGCTGGTTGTACCGCCCACGGCCATCTGCCCGGCCGTCCTGGATCGTCAGCGCTCCGTCAATCAGGCGCACAAGGTAAGAAGATGCTGGATTTTCCACGGATTCCCCATGAGAGATCATACAGAGGAACAGAGGCTTACATTGAAACACCAAAAATTGGCTACTAATCCATAACCCATCGAAATTTGCATTCCCCCTAAAAATTGCACAAATTGATTGGAACTGCTGCTGCGTCCCTTGCCTTGCCTGTCCCGCCTTCTGTTGTTTTATAAATTGCAATCGTAACCAGAAATCACAAATGCATCACCACCAGGCCACGCATTTTCAAATTACGCCGCCGGACGAGCTGAGTTGCCCCCTCCTGGTGTTCGTCAATCCCAAGAGCGGCGGCCGGCAGGGAGATCGCATCCTGCGGAAATTCCAGTACATGCTCAACCCCCGCCAGGTGTACGACCTGTCCAAGGGTGGACCCAAAGAGGGTGCGTATCCGGTCGGAAGTGATCTATCTGATGCTGATTTTTCGCCGTTTCTCGTTGCCAGGCCTCACGCTCTTCAAGGATCTGCCCAACTTCAAAGTCATCTGCTGCGGCGGCGATGGCACCGTGGGCTGGGTGCTCGAGGCCATGGGTGAGTAGTGAAAGCATCTGGGGTCGTCTGGCATGGGTTATCAATGCCCCATCCTCCTGCAGATTCCATCGAGCTGGCCACTCAACCTGCCATCGGCGTCATTCCGTTGGGAACGGGCAACGACCTGGCCCGCTGCCTGCGCTGGGGCGGCGGCTACGAGGGCGAGAACATCCCCAAGCTGATGGATAAGATCAAGCGTGCCACCACCGTGATGCTGGATCGCTGGAGCATCGAAGTGACCAACACACCGGCAACGGACGAGCTCCGACCCAAGGTAAGCTTAGCTCTCCCACCCACATCCAGAGGGAGAGCTGCTGCCGCTGAAGGATGGTTGTAAATCGATCAGCAAATTCCCAGCAGTATGCGCTCACCGCACATATGTATCGGCGGAGGCATGTGGGAGGCTGCTCGCGTGGGCAGACCAGAGAATCCAATTATTAACCACAAAGCGCTTACCACGCACACCTAACCGCAAGGATTCGATTGGGTTTACTATTCCCAGAACGATTACGCAAACTAATTTCGTCCTGGTCGAAGGGCGTGAAAAGTGGGCGTCGGCCTTGTCCTGGTCCTGGTACTGGTCCTGGTCAAATGCTGACGCTGCCAGCCTTCAACATGTTTTGTGGGCGTGGGGGAGGCCCTTCGAGAGCTGGGGAAATTGGTAGTGGCGTGGTTTTGCCTGCCGAATGTTAACTGAAGTTTTCCCCATCCGATTCCCCGTAGGTGACGTTGCACTCGAACATGCAGAAGGTGATTGAGCTATCGCAAAGTGTTGTGGTTGACAAATCGCTGATCGAACGCTTCGAGGAGATTCAGGAGATTGAGCGCCAGAGCAGCAGCAGCAGCACCGGCAACATCGTTGGCAAGCAGCCAACGGCGTCCACGTCTGCCACATCGATTATGATGGCAACAGCCACCGAGTTCCGGCTGGAGGAGGAGGAGCAGAAGTACCATCAGCAGCAGCGGCAGCAGGATGGAGGTGGAGACAGCACCACCACCACAATGAGAACGACAACCACCAAGAGCATTTCAATGTCCACGTTCGAATCGAAGAGCATGAGGACAACATTGAGGGGCACGCTGAGCAGCAGGAGCAGCAGTAGCAACACCAGCAGCGGTGGAAATGTACAGCCACAGCCATCCATGGAAGGGGAGCCGGATGCTGAGGGGGATGCGGATGGCGCGGTGGTGCCGGGTGCTGGAGATGCAGCTGGAGATGAAGCGGAAACCCTGCAAATACCAGCCAGAAGGACAGATGAAACAGAAAAGCAATCACTCGAGACGCTGCTGCTGCAACACAAGCAGCAACAGCAGAAGCAGCAGCAACAACTTCAACAGGAATTGGCATCGGATGCTGGAGAGGAAGTAGCAACAGCAGCAACATCATTTGGGAATAATCAAAGCGATAATAACAGTCAGCGCAATAAGCAAAACAACATCCTTAAACAGCAAATTACATTGTCATTGGATTTGTCGGACCATGACGACGACAACGAAGAGGAGGAGGACGGCAACTGCAACAGCAACAGCAACAGCAACAGCAATGGCAATGGCAGAGTGGCCCAGAACCCCAGCACACCGCAAACACCCATCACACCCATCACGCCGACAACACCGAATGCCCCATGCAGCATGCCCCAGAAGCCCATCAAAGTTCAGTCTGACAAGGACTGCACAGTGCCGTATAATATTATCAACAATTATTTCTCCGTCGGCGTGGTAAGTTCCATTTTATGTGTTGAATGAATCTGTTGCAGCTGCAACTGCAGTTGCCTCCCAGTTGGAGCCATGTGAGGGCTGCGTGTCTGATTTCCAGCTTTGAATTATGCCTACACTATGCGGACACTATCCCTGTCAGTGTCTTTGTTAGTGTCAGCTCTATTTGGGTCACATTACAGATGCCTTGCCGAGCATTTCCAGGGACACTCTCTGTTCCCATTTTCTGTTTGCGGCAGCAATGGGTTTCACATTACCATAATTAGATGAGGATTTCATGGCTATTGCATTTGACACTTGATTGTGCAGCTAGGACCATAGTTATAGCTCTCCAATTAAAGGCCCAGGAAATATGTATCGAATCGAAAGTTTAGTGTGGCACAAGACGAGAAAAGGCTTGGCATACTCTTCATATTTGCCGATGAGGTTTTGTGTTAAGATAATTAGTGGAGAGCCCCTCAGTAGCCTCTGGACGGAGGCTATAATATATATACCGACGGCTCCTTAGCCCGGCTCGCAAAACACAAAAGCGGGAACATACGACACGGCGCTTCGAAATAATTCATATAAATTGACTTAATCATTTATTCAGCATTCTGGCCAAGAGACCGCATATTTCTGGCTTAGCCGAGAAAGTCTACCCCTCCACCTTCCCCTCCATGGATGGCCAGCAGCGGAGGGAAAATTTCGAAATCAAACCCAAGAACTAAATGGCAGCCAATGAAACCATAAAGAAAAGGCAAAGCTCTTTGGCATGCAAATTTCCTGGGAATACGCTTCAGTTCCATTCATATCCAAAGGCCAGAAACGAGTGAAAGGAAAATCAACTCAAACAATGGCGTTCCAATAAAGCAAACGGAAAGGGGCTGGGGCTATGGTTAGAAGGGGGCACGGGGTGCGAAAGAATTGCAGAATGCTGAAGAGCGATTGCCATATCCCCCAGAGCACCTGAGCTAGAGCTATGTCTGCCGATTAGTCAAGGGGAGTGTGCCAGCCACGTTGCAACACATTTTGCATGCAAAGTGGCCAGGTGCCGGTGCAATTGAAGATGCCAGCCCAGAGGCAGGTGGCAGCTACAGATACGAATACGAACAGAGCCACAGATAAGAGGAGCCAGAGGCAGACCACAGACAGGGAGTAGAAACAGTAGCAGAGGCAGAGGCAGCATCAGAGCATGCAAATGAGGTGGCAAGAGTTAAGCACACAATCATCAGCTGCACATTTGCATCATTGATGCCTCGCTGTATTCGAATGCCAATTCTCCTGATAGGGGAGTGAGCAGAGGTTGAGGCAGGTGCCGGTCCGGATGAGGTGCAATTTGTGCTATTTTTTTGCTCTTTTCCAATCGAAAATTCCAATTCCCATGAAACGCAGTAGGCCCCAAAAGGTATGCTATGTTTTCTGATAGTAGACTGTCCTTTGCCGAAAGACCAAGTGCGGAGAATCCCTATCTCACTGGCTCCCCAAACGAGGAAAACGTTTAAATTAATAGGTAGCCAAGCTGCGGCCAGGTCACAGCCGGAAGAAACTTGTCTCATTATAATTTCCAGCAAGTGTTAAATTAGTGACTGCTCAAGTCAACGGCAAGCACAGCACCGCAAAGTCGAGAAAAAGTAACAGATTGTGCCCCAGGGACAAACACGCCTCACTCGAACTCCCGCACTCCCGCACGCCCAGACACACTCGCACATTCGCACTCGCACATAGAGTGTATGGGAAGGCAATAAATAGAAATGAGAGGAAAGAAAAAAGGATAAAAGTTTGCAAAGTTTCACATCAGGGGGCTGGCCTTTGAATAATTTAGTATGATATGAATGGAATGAAAGGCCACGAATGCCAGGAACAGGAGCAGGAGCAGGAATGAGCATTCCAGAAAATCAGAGATACTCGCCTGCAGTTCGTTTATCAGGGGAGGATTTAAGGCGGCCATAAAGCAACGTTAAGTGACAAATTTAGAGCCGGAGAAGGCTATCCTGTCCGCAAAACGAGAGCGAAAATGAAATGAAATGAACGGCAAATAAGGCGGAAATGTTGTACAAATCGGCCAAGACGTTGTCCCGCCTGTATTTGTCTCGTATCTGCGGGAGTGTAAATACGTACAATCCCCATATGGTTCGGTGGATTCTCTGCGAGTGTGTGCCCGGTGGTGTGTGCCCAGTGGTGTGTGCCCAGTAAGGTCACACCATTTGTCAAGTGGCGGCTAAGGCTGAAATCCTTTTTGTGCAAACATTTTGCGCTCCCTTGCGCAACTGAAATCAGCCTAATGCTCCCTCACAATTGCGTGCCTTGTCCTGTCCTGTGCCGTGCCGTGAATATCCCACAAAATCCGCACCAAAAACCGAAATAAAAACCCCATCAAACGTGTGTGGGTGTTAGTTTATTTATGACTTGATGTGCGTCTGTTTAAACAGTAGGCGTCTACAGCAAACTGTCGGCAATGATGTTATTGCTGGTGCTGTAGTGCCTGTTGGGATCTCACTTGTCAGACCCGACCAGATAGGCAGCCCGCTCCCATCACGAAATCCATTTAACACTTATGTATGTGCGGGTACATGTGTCTGGTCTAGGAGGAGTGTAGTGTGTCTCTGCCTGTGCCCCACTCAAGTGGCCAAAGTCGCACAGAGGAAGCTTTCCTAGGAGAGTGGATTCACTCCCATACCTTATCCCCCTCATCCTCCTTTCATGGGGTAAAACAGCATGAAAAGTATTTCACGCCGACTCTTTGGTTTAACGTCAAACAATTGACGTTGAGCGCCAACTTGTGCGTTGATGATAAAAGCGGGTAAAAGAACGTGGAAGATGGTGTGGTGTGAGGACGAAATGAAGCTGACAGCCTCTGTGAAGCCTGCTGAAACCCCCAGGCACAGACCACACAGCATGTGTAATTGTGAGAGCTGCGACTTTGACTTGAGCCCAAGTTTTATGTATCCCGGGCAGAGATAGCGGGCTTGATGTGCATTTTATGGGGCATTATGTTCACCTGCCTGTATATCTTATGAGTAGAAGCGCCTCCCAATGGCATTTGGGGGGATTTCAGGGCCCCTGTCTTTGCCGCTAGATATTCCAGGTTGAGTTTACAAATTATTTCATTACCGCCCCGCCCTTGAAGTCATCTCATTTAGAGCCAATCAAAATTTGTGCCAAACATTGCCGAAGGCGACCCCCAAATGCAAACAAGCTGTCATTGCCTGCTCGCTTGGTCCACCAGCACCCTCTCCTCTCCTCCTTAGCTCTGGCCTGACTAATAGGTATAGTGCGGTCGAGGCATGCTAATAAGCTGGTGCTGTCACTAAATTAGTTTACCGCCCAGGCCGTGCATGAAGCGGAAAGTGACAGTTTTTGGGGCAGGCTGTGCAAGCTAATTAAAAAGTTTTCGTCGATTTTTCAGCTTGCAGCGTGGCCAAGCAGGCAGACGCGTGCTCGCTCATGTTGACAATTCAATTTGCACTGGAGCGGTAATAAATCTTATTTGCTGTGAAAGCAACAGACCATAATTGAAAGCCAGGCAGGCTCCGCCAAGGCCCTGAACAGAGAGCCCTGTGTGCTCGTACTCGTACTCGTACTCCCACTTTGACATGAATAACAAATGGGCCTACCGAAGGTGCAACGTGACGTATACGTAACGGGGCGAAAGTCGGACACGCAACGGAATATATGCAATTAAAATACTGAAACCCTTTGGTGTGCTCTCCGATAGGAGGCAGTCGGGGTGGGCGCGCTGCATCTCCGCGCTCCATCCACCATTTCCCCTTTTGCAGCTTGCCTGTGTTGCATAAAGTAAACATGCACCTTTTGCACATGGACCTCAGGTCACGGGCACGAAGTATGCCCTCTGACACTTCGGTGAAGCCTGCAACAATCTCTTTTCGAGCTTAAAGTTTCTTAAATACTTATTCGATTTGTGAACCCTGATCCGGCCCTTTTGCATCTTTCCCTTTTCACATAAATTGTTTGCTTTTCTAAGGGAAAAATTATTAGCATTTTTAGCATTTTTCTTATCGGCTTGTTGTTGGCTTGAGCTGAAATGCGCCGGATTCCTTTAGGTTAGTCTCTAATAGCTTGGACTATGCATCGTCTGTGCATTCAAGCTACGTTTGTTACTGTTTGGTCAGGAAATATTTCTCTTTTATTGAATACATGGCTCCTATACCTTTATGTCCTCGAGGATGCGTCCATCTAATTGGTTCTGTGGGAGAGATAGCCAACTTTGCCTGTGCATTTGGAACGTGACCGTGAATGTCGATTCGATGCTGACCTTTTCATCATAAAGTAATTGGCTGAGCCCATTCCAATTCTGATTGTATTTCCACAGGATGCCGCCATCTGCGTCAAGTTTCACTTGGAGAGGGAGAAGAATCCGCACAAATTCAACAGCCGGATGAAGAACAAACTTTGGTACTTCGAATATGCAACGTCTGAGACGTTTGCAGCATCCTGCAAGAATCTCCACGAGAGCATCGAGATTGTGGTGAGTATCGGGAGGAATATCCAGGGGGTTGTCCGATTGAATTTTCCTGCTTCTGACTTGTAAATGGATTACCGGAGAAAAAGGAAGTGCATAACCTTCGCTCAATATTTACAGTGCGACGGTGTGGCCTTGGACCTTGCCAACGGGCCCCATCTGCAGGGAGTGGCCTTGCTCAACATCCCCTACACCCACGGTGGCTCCAACCTGTGGGGTGAGCACCTGTCCCAGAAACGGATGCGCAAGAGCGCTGGACCCTTTGGCAAAAGCAAGAAGCTCAAGTCCAGCGACAAGGAGTTCTCGGCCACCAGTTTCAACTCCGTGGATCTTTCGGTGGCTATACAGGGTAAGTGGGCCAATTCGATCCAATTGCTTTGAGTATCTCTAGTGGGTGTCTACTGCAGATATCGGTGATCGCCTGATCGAAGTTATTGGCCTCGAGAACTGTCTGCACATGGGCCAGGTGCGGACGGGTCTGCGCGCCTCCGGTCGCCGTCTGGCGCAGTGCAGTGAGGTCATAATCAAGACCAAAAAGACCTTTCCCATGCAGATCGACGGCGAGCCCTGGATGCAGATGCCCTGCACGGTAAGAGCGGAGGCTGAACAAGATCCAAACTGTATTGACTGTATCTTTCCGCCCTGTTAGATTAAGGTGACCCACAAGAACCAGGTGCCCATGCTAATGGCCGCCAGATCGGAGAAAGGACGCGGCTTCTTCAATATGCTGTGCAGCTGATTCAGGCGCAGCGCATCGACCGACTTCATGGGCCGACAGGCCGCAGAGTCAGCCGATGAGCTGGATGACGATGACATTCGGATCGTGACTAGGAGCACCACCGTCCATAACATAGCCTAGCGTACATAGCTTTAGCCCCAGATAGCAACGGCTCGTCTCGATTACTTACTGGTTTACTTAAAATTCTTTCTTTCGATATACAGACATATAGATGTGCTTATGATGTATTTTTTTTATATGTCGAGTGAGTTGCAGAGCTTTACTACTAGTCTTAGTGTAGCCAAATATACAAAACCAGTCGAATCCATTCCACTCCGATGGGATCCGTGTAAATACCAGGCGGGGATCGGAAGCACCCCAAACATACATATACGCGTCAGTGTTAACCATGTGAAGGCTTTAGGTGTATGTATATTGCATACATATACACATATATTTATTACACCATATTTTAAGACCACTTTAAAAAACGATTACGAAAACTTGTCCAATAACGCAACTGAAATGAGACCAACCAACAACAAAACCAGAACAAACTACATGTAGATCAAAGAGAAACAACAAGAAACAGCATTGTAGTGCGAATTTTATGCCTAGAATAGGGAGATACAGATACTCGTGTATTGTATGAGTGTAGCTAGAATTAAGTAATTTATTCCGTCATCATTAGAGGACTGCCCCTGCAGTGGTGCGTGTTGGATCGGACTACGATCCGCAAATGAAACATATCATGGTCTCTCGCGTATTTCCGCAACCACCACTGATGGGCGAATTTCTGAATTTTACTTTATCTTGTTTATTGTACATAGAACTATTTTAAAGAAATGTAATTTGATATACAAATATCAACTAAATGGTGAAGCTTTAAATGAATTTTTATATAAGAGTACATATATTGAGATGAGAACAAAGAACAGATGATATATAATACTTCAAATATGTCAAATATTTCATATAATCGTATATACATACATATATGCTAATGCTTATTACAACAATACTCGTAGATTAGTCAGAAATACGCCAACAACATCCACCCAATATTATACACCCAATAAATTCAGAACAAAAAACATTCCAAGTATACATACACAGTTATCCAAGAAATATATACTGTATATATAGTAAAGGTATATGTTTAGATCTTAAAAGTACCCAGCAGTAAATATTGCAAACGAGCCAGATAAGCCTCTAAAATCCGTTGGATACCCATTAAAAACTGCAAGATTATGTTGTAAGAAATTTAGATGCGACACGAAATAGATCATCTATGTATATTCCATAGATTTTGGGGATTATGGGGATCTATATAAGGCAATCGACGAGAGAGGATCATCACTCCAATAGGCCTTAAAAATGTATGCAACATAAAAATACCTTAGGATATAAAATGCTTAGGAATATAATTAATATTTCCGTTGCCCTCTTTCAGCTGACTCCATCAAAAAGTCCTCAATCTGAGATGCGTTCAGAGCGGTAAGAAAACGATTGGTTCAAGAAAAACATTTTCAAAGGCAGTTCTTCCACTCGAAAGGTTTTGATGCCAGTGTCAAGTCCTCTCTCCCGAAACACGGCCACAGCATAGCTGCTAACTACTCGTATCTTAGAATCTTTTGTTGTCAGTGCCTCACTAAACGGATCCGCGATCAGTCAATAGCAGTTATACTCTTATCAATGTATGTATGTGTACGTGTATTGCATGTATTTCGTTGGATTACAAATGCAGACGCAAAGTAATATGCATATAAATCTATTTAATTTTGCAAACAAACATTTTCAATGCGATGCCCTCGCGCCCACGAGGCCGAAGTCGCGTCGAAAGACGGGGCCTCTCGTGCTTCGGCGTCGAGGATCAGCAAATGCCACACAGTAGCCAGTTAACATTAATTATAAATGAAAGACCTAACATTAGTGAACCGAAGCATAGCCTCTCCACTGCGAGTATGGTCTAGCTTGTGTACAGTACAATTAGCTCTAAGGATATACATATGTATGTACTTACATACCTATCTATGCCTAGCTCTAAATATACAGATCGAAATGATCGAAAGTATGTAACATTTATCTGACATTAAAAGTGAAAATAACCGAGAGGAGAGGACAAGTGGAACTTGTAAACTATATATTACGATACAATTACAGATAATACATACATAAATATACTTTATATGATTGATAATATATATGCAATGCATAAGTAGATGAATGTGGCCCATAAGCGGCATAGTCCTTGGCGTACAAAGCTTAGTTCATTTGAGCAGGGCTTAATTTATGCTTGTGAAATGTAGATTTATCAGTGCAACGTATATAACAATAGCCTGATATATAGTTGTTACCATATTTACTGTACAATTTGAATGTTCATTTGTGCCATGGCCTAGAAGAGGAGCGGCACTGGAATGCCCTCTAATATATATATGTAGAATATTCAATGAAAAGGTCAAACCGTATAAAAGGTAGCGAATCGAATGTAAAACTGTAATATAGAGCTCCCCAAACATCATAATATCCACACATGTATACTCCTGTAATCAATGTTTAAAAAAACCACAAATAAATACGAATTATCCACATAGTTCCGAGCATACAATACATTTCATTTGCTCAGTCCGTAGGCATTCGCCAGTTGCAGCTTCACATGCGGTCCGTAAAGGCTGATGAAGGTGAGCACACGGTTGGCACTCGGCTGTCCGAACTGGTCGAGGACCTCAGCTGTGCGACACGGGTGCAGGGCCATGAACGGACGGAACAGCACGGGATGCTCTGTTTGGGTGAGCATCTGATAAAGATCTTTGGACGCCGTGTCTGGCATGAAGAGACGCCAAGTGGCCTCCAAGTCGAGGAGACTTCCATCTGTAAGAAGGTCTTTTATTGAATTGAACATTTGACTATTTGATGATGATACCTGATCGATGGGCTTGGAAGAATAGCATGGGCACTTGATACGACACACTATAGACTATGTGATACTCCACATTGATCAGAGTAAAATCACTATCTTTGGACTCTTGGCATTTAATCTTATGGCTGTACTTGAGGAACGTGTTGGGCTCATTGGCGTCCTAGACGGAAGATAATTGTTATATGGTAGCTTTAACACTACGATAATATAATATTTCGACATACCTTTTCATGCAACACCCAGCCATCACCTAACTGCTCGGAAATTTTGAGAAACTCTTGGGCCTGACTCAAGAAATCCTTCCACGTCATTTCGCTCATTCTGGTGCGGTGCTGAAAGAAAGTTAAATTTAATTGTACACAAACCTTAAAACAACAATGGATTGCCTTCGTACTTAATAAATTATATAAAAAACCAAATTTTTTACTTTAGAAACAAGCAGCATAAATATATTTTAGAATGTCTTGTGTCCTACAGCAAAATCGAAACGTCAAAGCTCCTAAACACGGAATACTTAAGCTAAACACATATCTCCCTGCAAAGCCATCCGGGAAAACAACTATAACTTAAGCACTGCGCTGATCGCAGTCCAGTGCGACCACTTGCACATTTTCATTGCGGCGAACCTGCACCACAGTCACTGTGGCGGCCTTGTCGTCGAACTTGCACGTCACGGTGACTTCACTAAGCTGGAAAGTGAAGATCTGAGAGCCGTATTTTGTGCGCAGGTACACTGAGCGCGGATCCGCCTCCAAGATTTCAACGATGCACTGTTTCTCGACCTGCAAATCCTTCAGCTGGGCCTCGGCGTGCTCGTTGAAGCAAACACTCAACCGATGGCTGGCCACCACCCAGTTGGGGACGCGTACGGCGCTTGGGGGCGGCAGAATCGGGTCGGAGCTGATGCTGTTTACAGCATAGCCAGCGGCACCGTATAGCTCCAGATCGGACTCTTCGCCATCGGGCTCCTGACGGGAGTCGTAAAAGTCCAGGCTGGTTTCATTCGGACCAGCTGAGGCTCGACCTGCCACGAGGCCAAAATTTTGATAGAATCGTGGTTGTACAGGTTTGTATGTGCCTAACATACCTGAGTCGATGCTCAAGGCTGGCGCATCGTAATATGGAATGTACGGCTTGATGTCCAGCACAGGTGTTCCGTCCACCATGTCCGTGCCAAAGAAACTGATGGTAGCATTTTCAATTTTCTCTATTTCCACCAACGACAGGCCGATGGGGCACGGTCGGTGGGGCGAGCGTGTGGAGAAAACTCCTACTCGTTCCCCGCCCAGACGCGGGGGTGCCACTTTAGCCTTCGGATGGGCATTGTTCCGATGGAAGTGGTAAATCAGCCACAGGTGTGAGAAGTCAGACAGTCCCTCCAGCGAGTGCTCCGGGTTGGTGAAGACGCCATCATTAAGCTGGATAAGGCTACGTAGGCGGCTGCCCACAACCGATTGCCTCGGTACAGCTCTCTTCTCCGGAAAGGCAGTCCGTATTACGCCAATCGGACGAAAGTGGGCAGACTCCTCATTGCTGTTACTGTTGCTGCTCCCACTGCCATTGACGTCCTACGGTTTAGCATTGATTTGAAATGTGTGTGTGTATTGTGTGATTGATGGTCAGACGCACCTGACCCTGAAGCCCGGGCGCCGCCTCCGCCTTGTCGGCCTTGTCAGTGCCGTCCTTGGCCTTGGCATTCTGCTTACTCGAACAGCCTTCGCAGCGAAAGTCCTTCAGCAGGCGGGTTATTGTTTCGATGTCCTTGCGCTGCACATGCTGTAGGTTCCGCACTTGCTGCCTGCGTAGTTAAGGTAAATCAATCGCTGGTATGCTCGAACTTTGACAACGGAAAGGATAGGAAGATTCGCACGCACCTCAAATTGTTAATCTCATTCCGCGCAATCGTTAATTGATTTTTCAAGTCATCCTCATGCATGGTTCTCGCACTGCAGCACCGACTGCACGAGCGACCAACGTTTAAGTCTGAATAATTCGCAAATACAGCGGTTGAGGCTGTAATAAATAAATATTTTTTATTTACCTCCCGGATCTTGTAGTTACATCCAGTGTGACCGCGGATTTATCGTTAAAATATACCGTCCGACCCTCAGAAATATACCAAAATATACCGTCTAATTTTAAAAATATACTGCTCCACCTACTGAATATGAACATCACGTACATTTCCCGTTGTGTTTACCTTTTAAATGATTGGGAAATGCAGTTCCAATCATCACCATATTTCGATCCAAGTACAGTAAATAAGATACATCATTTAAAAGTATGGAATGTGACTCATTGTTGACTACCGGTTCAAAGAAAGCCTTACCCGATTCAAGTTCGGGCATCGATACTATGGACTGGGTACGACAGGTGCGCGCCAAATAGAAATTGTTTGAAAGTGAATGTGAGTAAAGGATTTAAACGCAATCTATTGGAATAAATGATACACGTACTAAGTACGATTTGTGAGCGAAAATTCAAAAAGCGTGCGTATGGATATATCTTAAATATATCGTTGATAATAGATTGATAAAATTGGATTTTGTAGTTACATCCAATTATTGGTATCGATATTATTAATGGTATCGATGGTACAATTGCGGCTGGCGATAAGCGATTACTGCGCCGCTCGACACGAATGTTTCTTGCCAGGGCTGCAGCGCAGTTCCAGTTCAAAAAACTTTTAAAATAAAAATAAAAATAAAATAAAAATAAATAAAGTTAATAAGCAATGGATCATTAACAATGAAAGTGTTGTACTCCGAGTTCAGAATGTTTCTTACAACGGTATTTGAAATTGAGGTTGCGGAATGTGGAGACATTGGTCGCATTCACCATAACAACTTACTTAGCGCTCTGTGATGGATTGTTTATTGTTTGATGTTATTACTAGCTAGCAAGTAATATTAAATCGAATAGCTGAGGGTTCTTTCTAGCTAGTAATCCTATCCTGTTCGTTTTTTTCAACGGTATATTTGCAGTATATTTTGAAAATGAGATGGTATATTTCGTTATATTTCTGAGGATCCGACGGTACATTTTATGAATAAATCCACTGAGAAAATGTAGACAAAATATTGATGCTTGAGAAAAAATATCAAAGTCTGCAGAACATCCAAACATCGATGTCATCGATGCCAACGTCGATGTTTCTCCAGCCCTAGTTTGCAGCGAAATAATGAGTCGTAATTTTAAATGGTCTATACAAAGGGGTATGGACAACAGAAAAAAACAGCCAATGAAAACTAAAAGACTCGTACGAACCTCACCTCGCCGTGTTTTGATGAACAGCGGATTTTGTTTTCAAGGTATATTAGTCAAATGGGGTGGATTTCACTATGCATGCGTTGCATTTTCTGGGCCGTTTTGTCCGTTGTCCACACCTCTTTTTATATCCCATTCAAATACACCTAAGCACATTCACATTCACTATTTGAGACGTTTGTTTATTTTTGTTTACCGTTTACTATGCGAACCGAGAAATTCCAGTCACAACAGCTGTCAATTGTGGGAGGCGAGCACGTCCAGCTCCAGAAACCAAAGGCAACCAGACAAGAAACTTGATTCCAACAACGGAGTGAGAGCTGTATAAAATTCTGGTGACACCTGACAACGTGTAAACTCCGCGATTCGATTTGGCAAAATAAATTATACCTTTGCCAGCCTGGCGGACAGTTCACGACGATAGCAATGAGTCTGCCATTAAATGTAGCCAGCTTGCACAGTGCCAGATGCTAATGTCCGATGCTGGACACGCTGTTTAGACACAGCTCAACAAGAGGGCTCAACCAATACGACAACAACCGCTATATAGGGCTTCCATACCCACCGATTAAACAGCAAAGCGAAACGCGTGACGACCGTCAGTTTAATGCCAATGGCACAGTAGACAAGGAGTGCAGTGAACGCCCACCCACCAAACCCCCCAAAGATGCGATCGCGTAAGGTGCTGCTTATAGTTGGTTTTCTGATTACGTGGACCTACGCCACCTACTACCTACTGCTCCGCAACACCGGAGTAAATTTGAGCAGGGCTCAAGCGCATCAGATGTACCGTCTCAACGTCGAGGCGAGAGATGCGAACAAGAAAAGTCACGACATGGCCAAGAACCTCTTCCAGTTGGTCAAAACCAAGTATGACCAAGCACAGACGGTCTCGACGCCCCAGATTAGCATAGTGGCTGCCGAGATCTCCGGGGAGATGCTGGAGCAACCTGTGGCAAAACAAACCCCGGCGCCGATACCAACGAGAACATATATGGGCAATGGCGAACCTGTCTTTCCCGTGCTGGTATTTGCCTGCAATCGGGTTTCGGTCAAGAAGTGCATCGATAATCTGATTGAATATCGTCCCAGCATGGAACAATTTCCCATTATTGTGTCCCAGGTAAGCAGGCAAACATAAACATAACTTGAGCAGGCGGCCATTGTTATCGTTTTTCTTGGAACTTGCAGGATTGTGGCGATGAGAATACCAAGGGGGTTATCCAATCCTTCGGCAATCAAGTCACCCTCATTGAGCAGCCGGACCAGAGCGACATTAAAGTCCTGCCCAAGGAGAGGAAGTTTAAAGGCTACTATAAGATAGCCCGACACTATGGCTGGGCTCTGAACACAACTTTTAAAGTTGGTTTCGATTTCGCCATCATTGTGGAGGATGACTTGAACGTGGCGCCAGATTTCTTTGAATATTTCCTGGGCACACACAAATTGCTCATACAGGATCCCAGTCTGTGGTGCGTCTCCGCTTGGAATGACAATGGCAAGGCTGCTGTTGTGGACGCCTCGAAACCAGAGTTGCTATATCGCACCGATTTCTTCCCCGGTCTTGGCTGGATGCTCACCAAAAAGCTGTGGAGCGAGCTTTCAGTTAAATGGCCCAAATCGTGAGTCGACCAATTATACCGTCACCAGCCGATTGCTAATTGCTTCTAAACTGTTCTAGCTTCTGGGATGATTGGATACGTCATCCGGCCCAGCGGAAGCATCGCGTGTGCATCAGACCGGAGATATCTAGAACTCGCACTTTTGGAAAAATAGGCGTATCGAAGTAAGAGATAAGCGGTACAATTGTGGAAAACGGTCCGCAATGGCTGATTTCGCTTTGTTCTCTTTTTAGTGGGTTGTTCTTTGATAAGTATCTCAAACACATTAAGCTCAGCGAGGACTTTGTGCAGTTCACAAAAATCAATATGAGCCATTTGCTAAAGGTTTGTAAATTGTTATCTCTCTGACCGCCATATTGACTCGCTTCTCTTTTAGGATAACTATGATAAGACCTTTGTGCAGAGTGTCTATACGTATCCCATCGTCACGTACGATGAGCTGCGTCGCAACCTGATAGCAGCCGAGGGACCAGTCCGCATCCAATATACCACGCGGGAGCAATACAAGCGAATAACCAAGATGCTGGGCCTCATGGATGACTTCAAGGTGAGTCGATCGGTCGATCATTCCCCTAATAACGATTTCTTTTTCCTTGTAGAGCGGGGTGCCACGCACTGCTTATCACGGCATCGTCTCCTTTTTCTACAACAAACGACGCGTGCACCTCGCACCCAATGCCAACTGGAAGGGCTATGATCTCTCGTGGAGCTAACGACGCTAAAAACCAATCAACACCAACCGCACCATAACCTACACACTCAGCTACGTGTGCTTGCAATACCAAAAAGTAGTCCTATATGTATTTTTTATTTTGTTTGACCAATTAGTTAAGTCGTAACTATGGAATCTCCTTGAGCAGGCAGCCCTGCTGCATGAGAAACAGAATCAAATCAAAAGAGTCTCCGCCATGTATACATAGCTTGTAATTACCTAAATTTTGGGGCTTTTGGGAAGCAACACAACGTAACGCAAAGCAACGCAACGTAATATATTGTAAATAAGTCAGTGTTGTTTGCTATTGTTAGAGCTAATTATCTCTCTTCACTCCATTGTGTTAAATGCAATTAGTAAAAAGCTAGTATTAAGAAATACATAGTTCTAAGAGACAGGATAATAACAAAATTTGGTGATCAAGTTTGTTTCGAATATTTGTCATGCCCCTCCGCCACCGAAAATAAGGTCTCGAATACGAGCTATATACAACCAATATCTACCGATCTGACACAACGTCCCGATCGCATAGTTCTTAATTATTCTTCTGGTGTGGCCAATTAGAACGTTTCCCGTTGAACGAGTAGTTTGAGTATACTGAGATGACAGCTATTAAAAATTACTTCAAAATGTAATTTATTTGATAAACGAATACCGAATGTAAATCGGACCAGAACAAACTAAATGTAATTTCAAATGCAATATCAATGGCATGATGTGCCCCAGTGTATTCCTGATATTCCCAATATATTTGGAAGATCTAGCTAAACCCAACGTGACTTTGTACGCGGTAACACTTTCGAATAAATGTAGCCATTTTTGTAATGGAGTTTTTGCCGTTTTTGTATACGGTCTAGAGGTATAGATGTTTGGTTTTTTGCCATTCAGGGGAATCACGATTATCAATTGGAATCGGTTGTTTGTTCTTACAGTAACCACTCGAATATAATATATTAATGTATTGAGACGATTTCACCATGAGAATCCTCAATCATTATTTTTAAGTTTTAATCTGGGGTTCTCCCACTGGCACTGACGGAAATCGATGAATATTTTCAAAATGATCCATATCATCCAATCTTATCACCAAGCTGCTGGGTTTCCCCAAGCCCTGCTTATTTATTCTGGCGTAAGCAGGTTCAGCTCGCAAAAAGTTACTACTGGTTATGGAGAAGGAAATCAAACAGATTAGGCTAATATATTACCGAATTCCCTTGGCATTGCCAGTATTGACTCAATAGCAAAAGTTTTGTACGTCATCGTTCGCCTCCATCGACATCGGCATCGGCATCGACATCTCGTCTGTTCCCTTGATTGACTTTATGCGGGTTACAGTGCCAGCGAAAACGAAAACGATTAAAACGAACACCAAAGTGTTACAAGGTGGGTTGCGCACGCGTGCTCAGCCACCCGCAAGCAATTTGTGCGCTTCACAATTGTCAATTTCACCTCAAGTTCTGATAAGCAATTGCCAGGCTACACTGAAAGAAATAGATGCGTGACTTGCGTCACTAGATACCACCCACGTGTGAGGTACTTCTGAATCACATCCGTTCTATACAAGTGGCATTCAATAAGCATTAAAGTTTCATTAAATGGGTCAAAGTGCTTGTCATCCTAATTGCCCGTTGCGCCTGGCAGTGTTCTCTTATCAGCGACTCGAGCTGCCCTCAGCACTCGTAATTTTCGCTGCTGTCTACTCATTACGGAGGGCCAAGCAAGCTCCGACTGAAGCTACCTTAGCTCAGAGGGTCTGACGATCAGTTTCAGTTGAATGCAATCAGCTCACGACAACACAACGCGCTCAAATGCAGTTGACGCTTTCATTTCCGGTTTCGCTGGGGCTTCTGCTGGTGCTCTTAGCTGGTGCTCATGCACAGGATATAAGGCCCGAGTTCCCCGTGGATTTTCCACGGCCCACTGAAGAAGGTACGACTGGAGTAGTCACAGAAGAACCTACGACGCCCAGTCCTACAGGAGATGATACGACTGCAGCACCCACAGAAGAAGCTACGAGTGCAGGATCCCCAGAAGAAGCTGCGACTCCAGCATCCACTGAAAATGCTATGAGTGCAGGATCCGCAGAAGAACCTACAACCACAAAAAATGATCAGATCACAACAACGACAACAGAAGTTCCAAGAACCACAACGACAACAGAAGCTCCAAGAACCACAACGACAACAGAAGCTCCCAAAACAACAACGACAACAGAAGCTCCCAAAACCACAACGACAACAGAAGCTTCCAAAACAACAACGACTACAGAAGCACATCCTCCGACTTATATACCACCATACGCACCACCCACAATCAGCAATCGACCTACTTCCACCACCAAAAATCCTTGGATCTTGAACGAGCCGGCTGAGAGATGCTATCTGAGAGATCAGAGGGATTACGGCTATCGGAACGGGGGATGCGGACGTAAGTATCTTCTCCAGATTACATATTGAGGAGAGAGAGTGGGTTCGAGGTCATTTTTTCACTCTGTTTGCGTTTCAATTTGCAGCTTGGGGCTGGCGGTCGACGATAAGCTGCTATCGCTGCTGCTACTTCGCCCACCGCAATGTGGCCGGGTGCAGTAAAATCCATCGTGGCCGCTGTGGCTACCACTAGGGGAAACCCTAAGGAAACATCTGCTGTAATATTTCGAGTAAAACACGTTTGTAATAAACATTTCGAACAGAAATAGTAATCAAAGTAATTGAGGGGCAGCAGCTTCGAATCAATCCAGATTGTATACATTGCCTAGGTTGAGGAAGCAGTCCTTCAGATGCTGCTGGCTCTCACAGAAATCGGGGAACGGTGGGGCCAGCACATCGTACATGATGCGGATTAGGTCGATGAACTTTTGCAGCGCCTTGGCATAGTCCCCGGTCTCGTAGAGCCGTTTGCCGGTGCGCGTCATCATTTCCGTGTCCTGCATTACCTTGAGTCCCTTCAGGATATTGGTCACCTCGCCGCAGGTCACGCACTTGACCATAAAGTCATTGCAACTGGGAGGCACCTCGATTACAGCCGCACAATTGTTAGGCGCCTCGCAGCGGAATCGGATCACGTCCCGGGGCAGGTCCTCGAACAGGGGCCAGTTGTCGATGCAAGCATCGCAGCAGCACTCGAACCAGTACAACTCCTTCATCTTGGCCTGGCGCTCCTCACGCTTATCCTGCGTGTAGATCGGTCCGTAGTTCTCGTTGATGGGGAGGCCTGCCTCGATGGGCCGCACACTATTGATGTGGATCGTGGTGCCCCGGAAGTATCGCACGACTCCGGGATCGCACGAATGATTGAACAGGGCCAAAGTGGGATAGATGGCGCCGCCAATGAAGATGGATTTCTCCCTGCCCGTCGAGCTGAACTTGTGCAGTTCCGCCACCTCGTGGGTGTTGAATTGGATGAACTGCAGACTGCGCAGCACCAGTGAGCAAATGGCTCGAACCTGCTCCGGCTTGGGTTCGGGGCCAAAGTAGCCAGATGCCTGCAGGCACTTGGTCAGGAATCGGGCCATCAAAACGTGCTGGAAGAAGTTCGACGGCGGGCGCTTGTTCTGATGCCGTTCCAGCTGGGCCACGCGCCGGAAGTCGTCCTTGGGGAGACTGAGAAGGCTTTCGAATTTAAGTCCGTTGTTAAATGCATAGTGGACTCACCTTAGCAGCTCCTCTGGCGAGAGTTCCTTATCAATAGTGGGCTTCAATTGCAGAAAGTATTCCAAGGGCTTGCTGGCAAAGATCCTTAGCGCAATGTGATTGTTGATGGAGGCACCCGATCGCCAAATGGTGGGCACGATGCCACACTCATATTTATGGTACTTCTTGGCCGCTTCGTCCCGACACTGTTCCGAGCAGTATATGACATCGGCACAGCGGGGACAAGCCACAGGAACCACACTCCTGGAGGGGAATACATGTAATCAGAATATCTCTATTAGGTTCTCCCACCATCTCACCGCACAAAGCAGTTCTCGCAATGGCTCTTGGCGAATTTCTCCAGTAGGACGGACACAAACGGCCGCTCGACGAGCAGCTCCTCGCCGGCCTTCACATCCGCAGCGGCCCGGGCAAAGCGTCCCTCCTGCGGGCTGCGATCAATCCTCACCAGGGGACTCACATACTCCTTCTCCGCCGGCAGAGCTGTGGCCTGGTCGAGGGCGACCTTCTGCTTCTGTTGCTTGGCCGCCTGCTTAGCCGTGCGCGGATCTTGCAGCAGCATTTTGATCATAGTCATGGCATCCAGATTTAGCTTGGATTTCTTGTCGGATGTGAGTGCGGAGTCGTCCATGGCTGTAATGCACTTTCTAGGTGAAAGGTAAATGTGAATGGTAAAGTGGGTCATAGCAGGCCAGCTGATAGTTTGAGCTCACTTGAAGGCTTCAATCGTATGGGGATAGTCCTTGAGGGCCATGTAGCATCGAGCGCGTCGCTCGTACAGCTTGTAGATCAAATCCTTGGGGTAGCCCAGGTCTATGGCTCTTCGGATATCGATCAGGCACTCCCTGGAAATAAGTCAGAATAATTCTCTTACCTGTGGAGAAGTCCACATTTTCTATATCCTTACTTATATTTCTGCATGTGGTACAGAGTGGCAGACCGATTGGCCAGCACAATACGGATCTCAGCAACTATTCGATACCAGAAACAAGCACATATGTATTAAAATTAATTTTAAACCATTTTAGGAACATCTCACCATTCTCATTGGGCAATGACATATAGCTCCTGGTATAGAGCACCATGGCCTCCAGCCATTTCTTCCCCTTGAAGGCAGCCGTGGCCCGTTCCTTGATCTCCGCGGCCAGGAGGGCACTCTTCCCATCGAATTCCGGTCTCACCAGCAGGTTGGCATCCCCTGCCTGCACCCAGTCCAGCTGATCCACATAGGCCACGCGCTCCTCGTCTTCGCTAAATCCCGATAGCTTGGATATATCCGCTTCGCAGGTGGCTCCGGCCTGCTCCTTGAGCTTCAGGTAGTATTCGGCAAAGAAGCCCATCTTCTGGCTGAGTGGAGTTTTCATTTTGACAGTTCTTGGAGTCACAAATTATGCAAGTTTTGAATAGTTTTTGGTATCAAAGTACTCCCGGCACAGAAGCTGCAGACAAACTGAATGTGAAAATTCGGGAAAATGGGACGAGACGACGACAACGTGTGGTATAAAGACAGCATTTCGGCTTTTTATTAATAGACCAAAGAGAGCGCCACCCAAATAAATAAAGAGCAGGAGGGGAGAGGAGAGAATAAGAGATCGCAGAGAGAAAGCATTCTAAGAGCGATCCTCGTTTGTTTACTAACAAATTGCCCGCCTAGACTCTAGAAGCATCTAAAAAAACATAACCCCAATACGAGTATTATTCAGCTATTAATACGGCACAGTACATATCTACCCGACACAAAAACGCTTTCAGAATTGATTGAAAGTTCTCTCCAATTTGGGGAAAAATAAGATAACCATCCAGCATAAATTCCGCCAAATGAACTGGGTTATATGGCGCGATCGGGTTGTTCGCCTCTTTAGCTCAGTGGTAGAGCACTGGTCTTGTAAACCAGGGGTCGTGAGTTCAATCCTCACAGGAGGCAAGAATTATCTACATTTTATGAATCTTTTAAAATATTTTGTATATATATTTAATTTTTATATAGATTAACGACTCAAAAGCTACAAATTAAAGGTAAGATCACTTCAATTAAGATCACGAAGGGAAAATATAATTTATAAAAACAGCATTCCAGATTTTCCATACGGTTTTTTATCTTAACATATAATATTTAAAAAATAAATATTTTAAAACATATAATATTTAAAAATTAAATATTTTAAAATATTAAAAAGAAATGTGTATAAATTTTTCATAATTGCCTCCTGTGAGGATTGAACTCACGACCCCTGGTTTACAAGACCAGTGCTCTGCCACTGAGCTAAAGAGGCTTGAGTGACGCGCGTGGCAAAAGCAGTAGATAAATATAGCGCCCTCTAGCTGTTGCGGCGGCTGTTGCCATCCGCGGGTTGTTCAAAAAGTTTCAATTACCTTCGTGAATTGAGTGCATGACAAAGTAAATTAATGTTTCGTTATCTGGGAATCGGCACTTGAGTTGAGCAGCTGTCTAGCCTCTTTGACTAATGAAGAAAAGTCGAAGTTCAATGAGAACGCTCCATTTGTGGGTGCTCGTTATTCCAAGAGGCAATTTGTTATGGGTAAATTGTAAGAAAATGTCGTGGGAAGTGGCAAGTTGTAACACTTAATTGGGCCGCTCAGGCTGTTAGTAACAGAATTCTGTTACACTAACATCTCAGAGCACCGAAGGCACAACTGTACGAGTGCTTGCCCGTCGCCCGTCGCCAGTCGCCAGCACATACCACATGCATATGTACATATCAAATTACCATAGTTCAGCCCTTTGGCATTTAAGCTGGATGCAAATCCGTTAAAGCGCCCAAAAAGAAAAGGTGAAATGCGTAAATTACAGTGTCAACATTACAACGCCCACTTTGCCCATTCATTTGGTTTTTTTCGGGGTGGTGTCCCGCCGTGAAATGCATTATTATGCACAACGGAATGGAAGCGAAACCCAAGCCGCACCTCAAGGGTGCATCATGTTGGTTACGGCTGTATGTAAATTTCCCTAAGCTGTTGAATGGCACTAGGAATGGGAGGAAGCGTAATCGAAATCGGAATCGGAATCGGCGTCCTCGCCCCGCTGTTGACTTTGGGCATTGTAGCCCCCTTGGGACAGGGAAGCTATGCTAGAACTGGACATGACAGCGTGTCATCAATCATGGAAGGGTTGTCAGTCGCTTCTTGGTTTCTTTATTGTCTGCGTCCAAAACAATGTAATCATCAGGGCTTACAGCGGATTTGCGATCCCTCGCCGACAGCTGTCACTTGTAGTACAGTTGAGGCACTCCAAGGATGCCGCTCGTCCTGATTGAACATTGTCAATAAATGTAATCGCTTCGAGCCACTGCCACAGACGTCATTGGGCAATGTTTATGAGCTGTCATCCAGGCGCAAAATATTTATCACTCTCAGGGAGTCGCATCCTTGCGTCCTCAGCCACCCCTAATTATAGTGCATTGTGGCAGTGCAGTTCTGAGAGGACCCCAGGCAGGATACTGAATGCATTTCGTCCAGTACCTGACCCTTCGTCCGGCTCGGCACTCACTCGCGAATGTTAATGCAAATACGAATGCAAATTCAGGCGGAATAAATGACCGGCCTCCCCCTCCCAGAGGGAGACCAGACCTCTTTGATTCATGTTCATTCAAGAGCCGACAGTTAATTACAGTTTATTTTGTTTTTTCCTCTACCCAGCCCATTCTATTCTTCGTACTCGCTTGTATGTATATTTCATTAAAACATCCGTTGCATTTGAGTTTTTGTTTGTTTTAATACCCTTCTGAAGGGTCGATACTACACAGCAGTAGTGGAGATGTCATTTGAAATGGTTTTCCCAACCTAAAACCTCCACCATTATATGAATTATTTAAATTTCAATCCTTTCAAACGTCTTTTTATTTGGATAAGAGTACGAGTAATAAATGTCTTGAAAACTGGGAAGCAGACTGTGAAACAATTCTGAACTTATAAGGGAACAGGGAAAGGGTATTTGTTCAGGCATCGACTAGTTCTATCTAGCCCTTTCTTTTGCCGTTGCCTTTTGTAGCTGTTTTCCGCTTTGCAATCTGCTTCCGTTTTGCTTCGGATTGCTTCGTGGGTATTTGCATTGTAATTCTGTTTGCATGGGCATTGCTACACCTAATGTGATGTCAACTTGATGTGCACTGAAAGAGCAACCAATTCAAAACTAACAACTATAAACCGAAATTAATTCGAGCAACTAAATTGTGTTTAAGCCAAACTGCACGCCTTCCTGTCTGTCTGTCTTTCGGTCTTTCTGTCAGTCTTGCATTCAGCAACAACAACTACAAAAAAGCAAATAATTATAAAAAATATACCTCTAAGACAGCAGCCCCACCAGACCCCTTCCTGCTTTTCAAATGTTGGCCAAAATGTCATTAAGGTGGGCGACGAATTTGGCTGTTGACATTTTGAAAACGTCATAAATAATTTATAACAGCCATTTTTTTGCATTTTGGCCATTGTCTGAACGAACAGTTTTGAAAATGGATTTTATAGATCTTGTACTTGATTGCTTTGATTTGATATATATATTTGTTTTCTGTCCCGACTCCCGAGTCTTGGTATTGGCTCGCGACAATTTGTTGTTGTGGAAACGGATTTTTCCCGGTCGGAAAAAATATTTTAACTCTGTCAAACTATAGTTTGACACATTTTAATAAATTAATAGATGTCTTAATGTTAATGTTTCAATGTTTGAATGTGCTCGCTGCGCCCCTTAAGGTTCCATGAGAAAAGCATCAGAAGAGAAGCAAATGACGCGCTCGGCCTACGATGTGCAACGGGACTTTGGTCTAAGCAGCGCCCTGCGCTCGGAAATCATTTGGGACTCGTACGTATATAGGATTATGCAATTGCATAGAACATCTTAATTACTCATGCTCTCCGCATTGCCCAAAGACTAGCCCCAGATCAGGCTGGAGTGCTAAAGCAAAAGATCAAAAATCTGATCCTAAATAATGAGGCCACAACCAGCAGGAAGGTGGCCAAGCAACGCCAGCAACTGTTTCGAAATGTGTGGCTACAGCGGAAGTACACGAACCGCACTCTGCTCTCGGCCATCATCTACGTGCTGGTCACGCCTGAAATGGATGCAGAGCTGGCCCTGCAGTCCACCACCTATAGCTGCCATCCTGTCTTCCGCACCCGCAAATGCATGAAGGGCGAAAACAGCGAGGAATGTTGCATGATCTTCATCGACGAACACGGCCGGGTCTATGCCAATTGGGAGAAGTATGTCTTCGGAAATACCCTGCCCAAGGGCATGATGATAGCTCCAAGTCGTGGCATTTACACCTTCACCAACGACGAGGATCCTGGAGTTCAGCTAATGGTGTATCCCACGCCAGCGTCTGGAGCGCGGCACAAAATCCTCAATATCGGCGACAAGGTGGCGACTGTTGGTAGCCTTGTGGCAAGTGTCCCCCTGGCTGCCGCCTTGGCGGTTCCCGTCGGCGGACCCATCGGTCTGGCCGCCACTGCTGTGGGCGTTGCAACGGCAGCCTATAGCACCCTGCGCTCGGCCCACCGCCTTTACGATCGTGTGCGACATGGTCAGTCCACTTCCATCACGGACAGCGAAGCTCGGGGCCAATGGCTAGGCGTGGCCGGGGGTGTGGTTGGCCTGGGAGCCACCGGAGCTACCCGACTTATGTCCAGAGTGGCCGCAGCCGGCACCGAAGTGAACAGTGCCGCTCAGTTCGCCGTGAAGGGCATCAATGTGTCTTCCATTGTCATATCCGGCACGGGTGTGGCCAACGGTGTGTACGACCTATATTTGAAAGTTGGCGACGATCAGACCTTGTCCAAGCTGGATATCCTGCAGATTGCCTCGAGCCTGGTTATATTCACGCACTCCATTAATAATCTCCGCATAGCTTCCAAAGTGACCAATAGATCAACGTTGATGCGAGCGCTGCGCGATCAAACCAGGTAAGAAATCAAAACCACATCCTTATTTGAACACTGTTACAGAGTTCGATTATCCTGCAGAAGAGTCGTTAGTCAGATCTCGCAAGAGTCCAGAAAGCTGCATAACGGCTCCGACGGAGGAATGTTTGATATTGTGCGCACCTTTAACGATATACCCTTCAAGGAGGCCTTGCTCAGCTTGCACAAGATCAATGCGCATCTTGCGCAAGGAGCTTCCATGGTCGGTGCCCTGGGCGCCACTGTGCTGCCCAATATTGTGAGCCTGGGCAGCGGGGGGCAGATGCGCCTGAATCTGGAAATGCTGGCCACTCAATTTGGCAGCAAGTTTGTGGAGCACATCAGCAGTCCGGGTAACCTCGCGGACGTGCTAGACGCTTTGGCCCGGTACTTTAGCGATAAGGCGGTGCAGCTTTTTATGGAAACGACGCGCACCTTTGTCGAACAGAATATCGACTCGATTGACCGCACCCTGAACACGTTCGTTTCCACGGAGACGGTTCTCTATCGGATATTAATGCACTGCGTGCACACCTATGATAATTTTGCTGTGGATTTCCTTGAGCGCCATCGCCAGGACATCTTGGACGTAATCTCCAAGTACTTCCACTCCCTGCAGCCGCTCGACGAGGGGAACTCCAGCAAATATAAATGTGCTGTCTGCAAGGGAACGTACTATATAAGTGCTTTGTGATTCCTTAAATCGTTCGGCTATTTGTCTGTCTGTAAATGGAAATGTGATCATAAGAAGAGTTTTATGTATTATGTCGTTCACTGTAAAAGTTCCTTGTGAGATGCGAATAATTGTCTTATTTTGGTCTTAAAAACTAAATATAAATCTTTTTAGATAAATGTAAATGTATGCAAATTAAAGTGTGCCACTTAATTAATTTGAGCCGATCGGAATTTATATAAATTGAGGTCTATGTTGATCAAAAAATCAAGTTTTGTTAGCAATTTGTGTTGTGTCTGGCTCTGTTTTGTATAGCGATCCCATTCAAATTTCATTTCAATGTAAATCACACGAAAGATACACATTTGTGGCCATAAATTGTGTCAATCTCTCGATTAGTCGAGGAAGTGATGATAAGTATTGGAATAAAGCATGTAGATACAGATACAAACAAATCTTTGATTATCTATAATTAGTAGGTTGCCAACAGTCCCACAAATACGTTAGGAGAACGTGCGAATGAAATATTTTAACAGAACATTTCACTCAGCGCTCGTTCGATTGAGGTTTCATGATTTTCTTAACCCACTTCTTCTCAGCCTTCACTTCCTTCTCCCCCAAAGGAAGGCATCAAATTTCCATTATTTCCTCAACTGCACACCATTCAACAACTCTTTTCTTAGTACGAATACTTCCTTCATTGACATTTTCCTCTGTGGTTCTTCACATTTTCCTGATCAACCAATAACCCTCTTCTCCACATGTGGCGCCCCTTCTGCCTTGAACAGGAACTGTCACTGGGGGGTCAATAGAAGTGCACAAAAGCGATAATTTGATTTGATTTCCATTAGGGGTAGACGACGCATTGCGTGGAAAGCGCTTCAGACTGCAATCAAATCAGTTCAAATTAATTAAAAACTTAAAAGAAGCGAAAAGAAAGCAAAACACGAACGGAAAATGCACTGCAATGTGTGTACAAAGGCAACAAAACAATGGAAAGTGCTTCAGCTCAAGTGGAAAACAAAAGCTAAACGGGAAAAAGCAGACTGCTAGGCCAGGCCAGCCCAGCCCAGCCACCATTCCCTTCCCTCCCTCTGAAAATCCCCCGATCAAAACCCCTTTTGAGGGGGTTGAAAATGTGAGTCTCGAGTGCGAGTGCGAGTGCGGCGGCGTCGGCGGCAACAGCAGCTGCACAGGGGAAGGGACAGGACAGAACAGCGACTGGATGTGGCACGTGGCGCAGGCGCAGTCGTCGCTGCAGGGCGAGGACCGGGGACCTGGCTGGTAAGCTGTTACATCACGCGGACTGTCCCTGTAATACAGTTACAACCTGAGATTGATGGCCCTAGCCAGACGAGAGAGATGAGCGACAGGGATGAGGAGTGACAGACTGTGATGAATTGGGCTGCCTGCCCCCCTGGCGGTACGAGGACGAGTATTCCCTCTCCCTATGCCATTTTTTGCCGTTCGATCGTTTTTCGGAATGCTAATGACGATCCTTTGGCTGTCGGCATGCATTAGCCTCATATTTCTATTCGGCATATCTGATTTTTTTTGTTGCCCAGCAATTTTACACTAAATCAGGCAATTTTTTACCCAATTCTGCGATCCTTTGTTTCCATTTGACACTTTTCGGATAGATTGGCAAAAAAAAAAAACACGGGGAAAAATAACGTAGATACAGAAAGAGAGAATTAAGAGGTTTACGACGCATTGGAAATCGTTTTGCGGTTTATGTGTTCTCGTTTTAATGCGATTTGGAATTCCGGGTCAGTTCTGGTAATTCCATTCTGGCCTATCCCTAGGGATCGGGATCCCTATACCTATCCCCAACAGAGTGACACATTACCAGCAGCTGTTAAAGTTCTGCAGGCGCACAGCACGCGTCAGTTGTTCGTGTCGGGCGCTGCCGCTCTTTCACGTTTTCTTCGACTTTCGTCCTGCTGTGCGCCTTGTGGGAAAATTGTGCAGTTTGGTGCGACATGAGGTGAGGTCGTCCTAATCGATTGGGTATTTGGGTAGTTTCTGGAGGAAACTCACGGCCAAAGACAGACAACGCTGCACTGTCGACCTGGCTCTAACTGAAGCGCAAAGATCGTTGATCCATTTTGCACGCACTGCTGCCTCGAAACTGAAATCGAACTGCACTCAACACTCGGGCACACGCAAGTAGAAACACACACCCGCGGACATGCGTGCCAATCAAAATGATGATGTGAAAATATTTGTTCATTGGGCATGTCGTTTTCATTTCAGTCCTAATGGCTCCATCTCGCTTCCCATCTCCCATCAACAGCTCTCGACTCTTGGCAACAGGTGAGCCCGGAGTCGGAGTCGGAGTCGGCCCGAAATTTCTTTGGCCCTAATTGTCATGGGCCACTGAAGCGCAACGCCCGAAAGCCGATCTTAATGTTGATTATCCGACGAATGTGTGTAATTTTTGTGAAATTAATATCCGGTCGGTCCGACCTTGGGTCTTCCATCTCTCCTTCCCCCTTCCCCTTTCCAAACTCTCCTTCATCTTTGCCACAGCGTTTTCCTTTAATTATATTTAAAAGCATTTATCAGCCCGGAGACAACGGGCCAAAGAATAAGAACAACTGTGTCAACATATGTTCTCCCCTCGCCTCGCTTTTATTCACCGTCTGTCGCATGCTATCTTTTGTGTCGCAGATACTCGTACAAAAAGATACAAAATTGGTACCTACATACTGCAAGCGCAGCTCTTGTTCGGAGACATTTGGCTGTTGAAATTCGCTTCTGGGACGCCCTCAAAATGTGGGCCTCTTTAGCTCAGTGGCAGAGCACTGGTCTTGTAAACCAGGGGTCGTGAGTTCAATCCTCACAGGAGGCATTTCCCAAGATTCCGCGCTTCCATACCATTACCATACCATCACATGTATCTGATGGGATGGTGGGAGTTGCGCGAGTGTTTTTTTGCACATGATTGACTAATGGAAAGATAAGACACCTTCCGAAAGTAATGTCTGTCAATGGGAGAGGATTAGTTATATTATGTATCCCTGCTATTCGATTCATAGAAGTGTCTTGGGAGGTCATTAAAGGTATTGAAAAGCGGCTGAAGCCTCCTCCGTTTAAAGATCATTTGTGCTACCGTGACAATCCTCTTCCTTCCGTCTGCTTTTTTATTACCTCTAGCTCATTCCATTTGTCTGTTCCATACACGGATCGAGTGGTGCACCTGTCCCACTAGTCGAAGGACTTTCCAGCGTTTCAAATATGCGCTCAAGTTCCGCTCTCATTCGTGCTCGGTTAATACCCAAATTGCAGTTAGTGACACAATTTATGTTGTCTCGCGATCTTCGAAATGCCCCATGGACACGCACACCTTTGGAGTGGGGAAGGGGGACGGGAACGGGAACGGGAGCAGGGGAGAAGAGACACGAAACATGTCTCCAGGTAGCCGCAGAGCAGAGTGTTTTCTTTATGGCTTTTCATTTGTGGCATAAATTCAGTTTTAATTGAGGTTACAACTGGGCTACTTGTTTGGGGATCGAAATTCCATCCACTTGGCATAAATTACAGCATACAAAACCCGACCCCTCCCTCGCCTACCGCCAGAGTCGTCTCCGTTCTGTTTTCAAGTGCCACACAAATGTTCGAATTTATTATGTTTGCTGTGGCCTTTGCCCCCGCAATCTCGTTCTGGGAATCCGAGAGTGGAAACCCAAAGCAGGTCGAGTTTTTCCAGGCACTTGCGGTCTTCTCTTTTTCCCTTTTTTGTTGATGTTTTCCTTCGCTTGGGATGGAAATGGAAAACCATAAAAAGTGTAGCCATGTATAACTGACAGCGACAAGTGATTTTCCTTTGTTTTCCCTCCACTTCTTCTTCTTTTTTATGGAGAGGAAGTGTTGTTTCTTAGGTTAAATTATTTTTGGCAGGCAGCAAATACCTCTTCGATTCCATTCTCCATTCTGGCTGGCCGACAAAGTCTCTTCTTTCTTTCGACCGCTGGAGAAACGAAAGACTGAAGCGACGAACGCTTATGGAAATGAGCTAACAGTTTTTGGTCTATTTTGTAATACGAGACCCATAGACCCCGGTCCAGCGGCACAACGGTAAAGCACATTTCACTCTCCAGCTTTTTGGTATACAATACTCGTATCCATATTTTGCGATGGGCTGGCCCGCACTTTTGTCGGGTTGTTTTGATTTATAGCCAGACGGGGCCGCACATTAGCTAATCGAAACGATATCAACTCGAAAAAGTTTCGCAATTAGTAGGGTCGTGTGGAATGGTGGGGTGGGGTGGGATGTCGAGCACTTTAAGCGCGTGAGAGGCGCATGCGTAATCCTTTTTTTTCCTTTTTTTTCATTTGTATAATTTTGATTTATGTGTGCTCTTGAATTTTGGTTGTTGTGTTTCTATTTTGGGCTACATTTAATGGATGGAAATACAATCAACGCCAGCAGCAACAGCAACCCCTACACCACGATCCCACCCTATCATATCAGATCCCATCGTGTCCTATCCCTCGCACCGGGGGAAGGGGTTCTTCGGGATTGTTGTGATCATTTTAATTGACTTTGCGCACGAGCGCATTCACTGGAGCGTTGCACACTGTCGAGAGATAAGAGTGAGTGCACCACCATGTGTCCGCCTGGCGATGACGCAACTGGAGCGGCAGGCAAATGAGCAAGGCAATCCCAAGATGCGGCAGTGCAGTCGTAAAAATCTCGGATGCTGCAGCAGCGCAACAGCGCAGCCGCGACAGCTGTCAAAATATCCAAGACACCCACAAGAGAAGAGCAAGAGCCAAGGCGAGGCGAGGGAGTGGGGTTCAATGCACTGGAACTCTATTAACCATTATAATCACCATCGGGTCGCGTCTGGCCCAATAAATCCACAGACACACAGCCCAGTGCACTTCGCTCTCTCCCTGTCGCGCTCGCGCTCGCACTCTCTCTCGCGCTCTCCCTCTCAGCGCAAAATCATCCACCCAGGCGAACACCGAGAGAGAAGAGGAGAGTTAGCTCAAACGAAAAATCTGACTCGTAGAGCGGGAATTATAAACACGAGTATCTACACACATGATCATATTAATAGGTACACACACCTACGTCAACTTTCAAATAACAGAAAAGGGTTTTATTCAATATT